GTGAGGTTGCTGAACTGCAGACTGGCAGAGCAGCGCTAGTGGCCTGTTAATGAAGTAATGTTCTTTTTTATTTGAGGGTCCCATTGTGACCATTGGGTCCCAGGTGACACTCGAAAACAAGGGGTAGGGGTAAACATGAGAAATGGGATTGGGCCTTAGAGTCCCATCTTAAAGAGCAACCATCTAAAAGCCTTGTCTATTGTTCTGACAATTTTAAGATACCAAATAAGCTGTTTAAACATGCAGTTTGCATAGTGCTAATAGGTGGGTAAGCCTCTACTCCTTGTTAGCTACATTAGCCTCATAGCACCAGCGCAAAACTCAAGTAAACTTCAGACTCCAACCATGTCTTGGCTGATCAACTACATTTGGGGTAAGTGGAAAATGTGTAATTTTGTAACAGGTTGTATCAACACAAAAGTGAAAAATGTCCTCGTCTTCATTTACATGATGTGATTCCCTTCTACTAGACATGCTATAACCAGACAAAAAGACACACAACCCTGCTCAGCTGGCCCAAAGCTGAACTCAGTGAGGGCAGCGTTTGTGATTATTCCAGTCTGACTGCTGAGGCTGAGGCTACAGCTCAGTGACCCACTGAGTGTGATATTGAACACGCCAGCATTGCTGCACAGGGACCACAACGTAGACGTTATTCCAGTCTAGCTGACTGTTATTCTAGAAACAAATTAAATCGATATTTGGGCCTATGCAAAAAAGTTACTCTTCATATAAGACCTACTTTCAGTTAATAAAAAATGTCATTTGCTTGTTTACTCATATTTTTATGTATTAAACAAGATGATGCTCCCTTCTTCAGTGGTCAGGACCCCCATGGACCCTCACAGCGCAGGTACTATTTGGGTGGTGGATCATTCTCAGCACTGCAGTAACACTGATGTGGTGGTGGTGTGTTAGTGTGTGTTGCGCTGGACTGAGCGGATCAGACACAGCAGTGCTGCTGGAGTTTTTAAACACTGTGTCCACTCACTGTCCAGTCTATTAGACACTCCTACCTTGTAGATGTAAAGTCAGAGACGATAGCTCATCTGCTGCTGCACAGTTTGTGTCGGTCATCCTCTAGTCCTTCATCAGTGGTCACAGGACGCTGCCCACAGGACGCTGTTGGCTGGATATTTTTGGTTGGTGGACTATTCTCAGTCCAGCAGTGACAGTGCGGTGTTTAAAAACTCCAGCAGCACTGCTGTGTCTGATCCACTCAGACCAGTGCAACACATCCTAACACAATACCACCACATCAGTGTTACTGCAGTGCTGAGAATGATCCACCACCCAAATAGTACCTGCACTGTGAGGGTCAATTACAGCAGTTACACCACTGCCACTGAGCCTGTGGAATCTGTTTAATGGTGAACAAGTGGGCTGCTGCTGGTCAAAGAACAGTTAAACATCTCAGTACAATTGCATAATTCCATTAAATTGTATTACTGCCTTTACATACTGTCCCCTTTCAAATCTCATTGCTTTGATGTTTGGTGGCCCATATTCTGAGAAATGGAGAAACCCTTGGCAGGCAGTGGGAAAATCATGGCTATTAATGTGCACGAAGTGCAATGAATGCAATCAAGCAGACGACTGCCTTTTCACACCCATGTGCACTCGATGTGTAATGTTCCAGAAACAGCAGCTGCCCCTGAAACAGCGAAACCCAAAAAGTTGAACACAGTCCAAACAAACAAGGTCTATTAACTCAACATCCTGTTTACAACAGTGGATAATAAGGCTACATGATATAATCATGCACTCCATTCTAAAGAAACATCACCAAGTCAGAGTTTTAAATGGTTATGAATGCGCTGCTTGATGCCTGACACATCGTTTTACAATAGTTTTGAGGCAATATTTTGGTCTAAAACAGTGGTCACCAACCCTTCTACTGGAGATCGACCTTTCAGCAAGGTTTTACCTTCAACCCAAATCTAACAAACCTCCTTCAGCTAATCAACGAAGCAACAATTAGATAGATCGGGTGGGGTTGATTAGAGTTGGAGCTGAGATCTGCAGGAAGAAATCTCCCAAGCAGTAGCGTTGGTGACCATTGGCGGTAAATAGGTGCATGCAGGGCGTTGTACACTCAGAAAAAAGGTACTAAACTGTCACTGGGGTGGGACCCTCAAGGGTACATCTCAGTACCTTTAGTCAGGGAACATAACTGTACCATAATCCAGTGCAATGATATTTTCTAAGCTGTACTGACTCCACACACCCCATCTTGTCTCCAGGCTTTTTATTTCACTGTTCTGTTTTAAAACATTAGATTATGAAAAGGTACAAATATGTACTTCACTGCTGTACCTTTGAGGGAACATTTACATTGTTTGTACCATGATGAACGAAAAATGTACCTGCAAAGAACCTTTATTACTAACAGTGTAAGGCAAAAACAGTCCCAAAAGAAAACCTTTTTTCCTCAGATTTACCTCTATTACACCAATATAAACATTACACATAAACACACATGAAGGTCCACTGGTCTGTTTGCATAGTAAATAAAATGGCTACATTTGCATACATGTGTTCCTTAAGTCCTGTCACCACCACTGTAAAGAAATCAGTAATGTTTCTCTACTATGAACCATTTCAAATCAAACCATTCTGAATAACTTCACATCTCAATGACTGGATTGTGCAGAATTGTAGAAAGATTGGTGGAGTTTCCCCTTACAGAAAGTCCTGCATTATTTTGTCCAAAATATTTTAGTTTGGTTGGATTACATGAGTATCTTGATTCATCAAAGGCTGACATAATGCAGCATCCTGTAACATCTAATATTGAATAACTTTACTAACTGTAATACTGTGATCATCTGTAGTCTTTAAAACCTTATGAATGCAGCATCTGCTGCAGAAGCAGAGGTAAACCAAAGATGAGCATTGGGCCTCATTCACCAATATCTTCCCGAGTTTTCTTAAATGTGTTCTTGAGAAAGGTCCTAAGAAAAAGTCTGCATCAGATTCATGACCTATTCTTAAACCGCAGAACTGTTCACAGCTTTGTGCTCGAGTGTGCGTAGATTCTGTTCTTACCCAAGAACAAATCCCTAATAAGAAAACAAAGATTCTGAATGTCAGAATCTTTGTAAAAGCCATGTAAATGGCTTTTAAGAAAAAATGTTTTCTTACAAACGGTTAGTGAATGAGGTCCATTGTCTTTAAGGTCAAATTTAATCATAACTGCTACCAGATAAACATTCGGAACACAATTTTCCACACTGTGCTCAGACTGCATTAAAATAAATGGACAGATGAATAGGCTGAGCAACAAATTTCGATCTTTAAACTCCTTTGATGCTACAAATGTGTCCTCAATCCCACATGGTTGATTTCTATTATTAAACTGGCTCTGTTCTGGCTCCACGTTTAAAGCCAACACAGCCCCGTCTGGACTTTATAATGAAGCACAGCAGGGGCTATTGCGGTCAGGTGGCTTCACACAAACAGCGGGGAATCCAGCCAACACGGCTGTTGCCACTGAATCTCTGCTGTCACTTCACCAATCAAACACTATCATTCTCAATTCTAGTATACGTGTTTTTTTTTCCCCCAGAATGTGTTTTTACTGAAATATTTCTCAACAGCAGTATTTCTTCTCCAATTACCTAACAGCTTGCTAACTATCCCATAAGGCTTAAATCAACCCGACAAAACATCACACTTCAGGCCTTTTAGCTGGGTCTCAGTGGGTAATTCTTACTGACCACCATCAATTAAGTTATTTTGTTTTTCAGTTTTCCTTTTTTAAAATTCTGAATGAACCAGCTGAGCTGCATTAATATCTGTGAAACAGAGTAAATGCAACGTTTATGCTTAACTTGTGGTAGCTAGTTAACATTAGCCTAGCTAGCTAAGAGCACGCTATCTTTCCTAGCACATCTTCTGTCATGTCTTTGCACTTTGTGTTTGTTCTTTAAAACCAAGTTATCTGAATACCACTGCACTGATAAGGCTAATTTCAGCTAGATACGAGCTGAAAAACATTTAGCAGTCATTAAACAGAAAAATTTAAAGATATTGTAATAGGATGTTTGACTAAAATGTATTACTGCTCATTCACTTCCTAATAAGTGCATATATAGACACATACACTGTTGTCAATATGTAACCTTGTAAAAATAGTTCATTTTAAAATACAGTACCATATACGCAAACGGATACTTCAAGATACAGGACTGAAGAAATCTCAAGTAAACCCAGACTGGACGGATGAGTAAGATATTTAACAAGGAGTAAACCTCATAATATAATGCTGAATGAAACACGTGATATTAAAAATGCTAAATATGTTGCTGCCAAAAACATCTTTCAAGGCCCAGCTCAAAACAGTACCACTACAAACACATTTAACAAAATTCTTGAATAATTCAGGTTGTAAAAAGACCAAACAGACTTCCACCATCAAGGTCTCCTAATTCTTTTCCCCCTTTAATCAAATTGATGGCACCACAGGTCAATCTCCTCATAAGATCTAGGATTTGACAATTCAGAAGGCCCCAGTATTGTGATATGTTGATAAAGTGCTACTAGGCACAAGTTTAGATTTAACCAGGCTAATCAACTAATTTACCAGCTGGATCAGCCATTTATTGCTTTAACTTAGTTCTGAACACATCTGATCCAGGTCATTTGGAACACAGAAAAGGCAGCGTAAAAGAGAGAGTGTAAAAACATGGACTGTTTGCTGGGCTCCATGTACTACACTGAGAACTCCTGAACTGGACAACTGAACCAATAGAATATGCCCTATACAGGAGTGTCCAGTTCTGGTCCTGGCGGGCCAGAGCCCATCAACACACACTCAAAAACACACCAACCACAGTTTGAAACAAACTTCTGGGTTAAATCAGGTGTGTTTGAGCATCAGTCACCAACCCCCCAGCACCAGAACAGTCATTCTATAAGGCTTTATCTGTGAACATGACAAAGTTCTCATCAGGAATTATATAATTCAGAATCAGAAGTTATTAAAAACAAGACAACCGTTATTGTATCTGAAAATTTTCCATTTATTGTGTAATGGGCATGTATTTACGACCTAGGTCTCTCCTTCTTGCCTTTGTAGAGGGCCAGGAGGGAAACGTTGGCCACCTTCACCACCTTGAAACGTACACCAGGGATATCACCGACGGCATGTCCCTTACGACCAAATCCTGCCACCAGAACTTCATCGTTTTCCTGCAGGGCAAAGAAAAAGCATGTACATTCAGAACAAGGTACCATTAATTAATGTATCACTTCCAACAGCACTGCCAAACACTCCAACACAGGTCTTCAAAAACCGACACCTACCTCAATGAAATTCAGGCAACCGTCATTGGGGACGAAAGCAGTAATCTTCTTGCCATTCTTGATCAGCTGGACCCTGACGCACTTCCTAATAGCAGAGTTAGGCTGCTTGGCTTCAACACCACTGTGAAGGGACAAAGGAAGGGAATTGATAAGTGTGCAATAACGAGCATCAGTATGAAAACATTGTTTTCGGGAATTAAGACATTACTTACACTTTCTCAAGGACAATTCCTTTGGCGTGTGAAGCTCCTCCAAAGGGGTTAGCCTTCAGGGCGGTGCCCAAATTGGCCTTCTTGTACTGCTTGTCGTGCCATTTCTGCTCACGGCGGTGGTCCCGCAGCTTTCTGGCGGTACGAAGTCCACGACACTTGCCTACAGCAACATAAGATTTAAGCCGTAAGATATATAGTACACATTACAAGTAGTGCTGTCCACTGACAATATTCAATTCATCCCTAATGACTGACTTTGCCACCCATAAACCTACATGGAATTAGAACAGAACAGGGTTAATATTTTTAAAAATACACTAGATATTGATTACATACATAATGCTCATAAAATATCAGCACCCCCAGTGGAAAGTAGTTTAGTTGTGTGTATTTACATGATATCCAGTACCATACACTGAGTCATTTCCTGTGTGCTCCACGTTATTTTAAAAAAAAAAAAATTCTTAAATTCATTTAAATTAAATAAAAAGTGTGCTTTCTGGAAAAGTAGTGTTGGTTTGTGTCGAGTTACACTTCACAATACTGCGCAAAATTTACTTTAATGTAATTTTTGTACGAGAACAATCAGTCAAATTAAACCAAGCTGACAAGTTTGTAAGCTTTTTTCCACAAAAACATCCATCACTAAAAGTTACATTATTCGACTGACGGACCTCCTTCAGAAACTTCTAATTCCTTAAACGCTCCATTTTAAGAAACTGCCATATTCTCGATGTGTCGTTTGTCTTACAGAAACACGAGAATGTTCGTTGACATTTCTTACACCGTTTTAGTGCCCAAGAACAAAAATGTGGCCCTAAAAAACAGCCGTTAGTGGAGTTAGCAGGCGATGCTCTCCGCTCGGTACCACGGGCCTTTACGGCAATACTGAAGACGCCTCGGGAAGCAAGTTTATCAACGGAAAATTCACTCTGGACCCTCAAATAAGTCTCGCCATGAAAATACATCTATTATCAGATCTCGTTCTCTACCTATAATCAATATCCGCTCGGCTGTCTGTGTTTTTAATAAACACCGCCGCCTCGCCGCAGCCTAACATGGCGCTCCTGCTCTCCACGTTGTCTTACAGCAATTAAACACAACAAAAACACCGAAAATACGCCTCAACTACACGATTTACCTGCACAACCCGGTGCATAAGACTTTTAACTGTGTGAACATGTGAGTATGAGTGTTCAGTTGCGCCTTAAACTGCTGTTTTAATGAGTTTTCTGAGAGGCTGAGGGTCGTACCCATGCTGGAGGATCCGAGTCCGGGGAGGAAAGACCGAGACCAGCATGCTTCGCGCTAATGGCTTCTCTCACGTCCCCCATAGGTGTCCACAAGAACGCCCGCTCGTCTTTACACTAAATTGTCTCTTAATTGAAAAAAAAAGTTTTTTATTTCCCATATAAAATTTACATACTTAACAACGACTCATACGCTGTGAGCTTGGTTTCTGATTACAGGAGCTGCGCTTGAAATGTGAAAAAAAGTTTATGAAAAAATTTTCCACCTGATCTTAATATCATACCTACAGCACATATAGAAGAGGCGATGATTTGAAAATCTGCGTATTTCTCTTCCACGTCTTTAACGTCTTAGCGCAGTTTTGTTCAAAGTAATTTCGTCAAAAAACGGAAAAATCACTTACAGTGAAAGAAATAATTAAGAAAACATACAACCAAAGAAACTAAATATGCTGAGGTGCTACATAATATAATTTTATAATTTGAAATATGACACTGTAAACATTGAGTGCACAGAGTACAACTATAATAATAATAATAATAATAATAATAATAATAAGGTAGTATAGTTGTAAATATTGGCATACAATAATTAATCTTATATAAAACCAAATAAACTAAAGAGACTCTACAATCTAAAAGGAGTTTAGGCCTAAGACAGTGTTCCCAGACATGGACTAGTCTAAACCAAATCATAATCATAATTCTAGTAGTGATTTATTATTGAAAATCCATTTTTGTCTGCATTTAGGCTTAATCTGGCTAAAACAACTTAAATTAATGTTGTACTTCATGAATGGTGAACTCAGATGGTTTTACTGTACTTTTTCTAAACATTGTCGTCATATCAAGCTGTTCTCCTGTCTGTTGCAGGATGTTTCCCCTGCAGAGATCGCATACTAATTTACACACTGTTGTGGTGGGGGAGGTGTGCAGTGCAAATCTGGGTCATTGCCTCGCTGAACAGCAGGTGAGTCCAAACATATTAAATTACCTTGCTCATAAAAGCATTTTTATAATGGTCTTATGATTAATTAGCACATTTATTTCATTGACTTTACAGATTGATTGAGTTCATTGGAGGAGGAGGAGAAAGAGGAAGAGAAATGGTGTTTATAGTATATGGACTATTAATGTGTCGATGGTGATGTTGAACCGGTTCTTCTCCATAAATGGGTCGAACCAATTCAAACTGAATCGAATCTCTTGGGGCAGCATCTATGCGATGTATTTGTTTATGTTGTAGCCAGACATCGGCTTATACAATTTAAATAAGACTCTGTAATTTAACGTAATAACATCTCAGTGTGTAATAAAAAAATTCGTACACATTAACCATGCTGTTTTGGGGGCCCTAAGCAAAAAACAAACCCTTTATGTTTCCACATGTTCATTGTGTCTGTGAGCTGTTATTTTCTACCATGCTCTGAGAACAAAGATAATATTTGTACTGCAACACTAAATTGTCCAGATGTGTGATACTAACCAGCAACTAGTGAAAGTGAAATAGCAGGAGTACAAGAGAGACAATTCAACAAACCAGTCAGGAGTCAGAATTAAACTAGCAAGAAAATATTTCAGCTCGCCAGTCACAGAGCAAGACGCAAATTCCTCTTCAATCACAGTCACACTGATATTTTCACTAGCCCAGTAGATTACTAGGATAAATAATTGAATTTAGTAAATCAGATCGCAGGAGGAACAATTTAACAGCCCAATCAGATCTCAGATGAGAAAATTCAACAAGCCAATTACATTGCTGGATTATTATATAATGTTCACTAACTAGGCCTAAACAATAAATATTGTTTATTGGTCACAGACCCAATGTCAGCAGCAGAAGCATCAGAAACTTCCACTAAGTCTATGCAAATAAACTTCAGACAACATTGCTAGCTTTATTCCAGCCTCAGACGCCCCACACGTACACAGACGGTCTGATAACTACTGCACTGTATTAAAAAAGGTTGTGAATATTATGGCATCACTTGCTTAAACGTTATTGAAGAATTTTAGCAGCTAGTAAATAAGATATCCTCACATGTTCGCCTGCTCATATACATTACAGAGGACAATGCTTTGTGGTTGGATATGTTGCATGTCGGTCAAATGTCCTTTCCTGTCAAAGTAGGTGGTTTGTGGCCATGTTAATGACAAAATGCACCAGACTCTCTTAAAGGCAGAAGCCTGCGAGACGATTCTCAGTTTGATGTCTGTTGTCCAGGGCCCCTTTTGATTGAGACCCCAAACAGTTGTAAACCAGTGTTTCTTAATCCTGCTCTTGGGGACCCTCTGGCACAGTTTCCACTATTACTTGCCTCAACAGAGCTGCCCCAGCTCATGAAGGCCTTGATAATTAGCTGATTATCTGGATCAGTGTGTTAAGGCATGGAAAGTCGGACACTGGGTCCCCAGGAGTAGGATTAAGAAGAACCCTTCTGTAGACTGTAGCTTCCTTTTTTCAGTTACATATTTTGCCCAGCCTTGCACTCACAGACAATTAGCAGCAGTGGGTATCAGACTCACTTATTGAATAGAAAGTCACTGTAAGGATGAGAACGAAGTGGCTCAAATACCACTGTGGGCTTCCATGCACGAAAGTGAATCGTTAAATCGTCTTGAAAGAAAGTTTTGGTTGAACCGATTCGAACTTCCCATCAAGTAAACGACGTTCAATGCATTAAAACGGACAATTCGAAAGAATCGGTTCGGTGAAATGACTCGTATGTCCCGTCACTAAAACCACATTCAATTGATTGAAACGTATAGTTTGAAAGAATCAGTTCGGTGAAATGACTCGTACTTCCCATCACTAAAACTACACTCGATTCATTGAAAAGGACAGTTCGGAAGAATCGGTTCGGTGAAGTGAATCTTTCTTCCCGTCACAACTGTGTTAGCACGTTCCTCGAGAAAGGGTGGGCGTGGCCGTGCGCTTGGCGATCGGCGCGTCCGAGCTCTCATTGGCTGCCGCCCACGTCAATCGCCGGGGGGCGGGGCTTTCATTGGCCGTTGCTGGAGTGAAAACGGTCAGTCGGCGTCTGTGGCGAGCGCGCGCGGACGTACACATGGCAACACGGGGGCGCGCGATGGCTCTGGCTTTGTTTTCATTCATTTTCCTCCAGATTTTTCCTTCGTCTTACCAACAGGCTCCTGCGTTCGTCGACAAGAGGTGAGCTTCATTATTTAAAAAAGGAACCTACAGTGTCGGTAAAGGCTCAGCCTCAATGATGCTGAAGCAGTGGGAGCATCCTGAAGCTACACTCGTAAAAAAGGATGGTTCTTCAAGGGTTCTCCTTTTAGAACCATGAGTTCTACATAGAACCATTTTGATGCTTAAATGGCTCTTTACATGGTGAAAGTGTTCTTCAGAGTCGTAGAGAATGTGTTGTGTATGGTTCTAAATAGAACCTTTTTAAAATGGTTCTGTATAGCAATAAAAAGGGTTCTTCTATCTTTACAAGCTTGACATTGTAACAGCCTGAAGAACCATTTCACCATGCAAAGAAGTATTTAAGCATGAAATGGTTCTATATAGGACTTATGGTTCTAAATAGAACCGTTGCCCTGCCTAGAGAACCCTTGAAGAACCATATTTTTTAAGGGTGTAGAACAAAAAATAGTTTGTACGCCCCTTTGTGTTAGGGTTTCCTCAGTAGGGTGTTTTAAGCTGGTTTGCTGGGTCGAAAAAGCTGCTGCTCTGCTTGTCTTTGTGTGTTGGACTTGCACGCTGGATCTGCAGTGAAACTGAACGAGCCTCTGTCAGTGAAACCCAAGAGAAAAATCCATCGCTGGCTGCTCTGAAGGCATCGGTTTACAGGGCCAATCCATAGCTGCTCCTTAAAATAAGCTTTCTGTGGCAGGTGGGAGCCTTTCTGATGTTCTAATGTTTGGTGCACATGTAATCCAGGGGGGAGAATGATGATGCACAGAAGACAATAGACCGGTGGAGGAATTGAAGGTGGAGCAGGGAACATGCCTTTAGTGCAGAGATGCTGATGGGCATCATGTGAGAGGGGCTGGTTTTCTGATTTCTAGCCTGTTTCAAGCCCACATTGTTTTCTTGAGCTGCTTTATGGGGGATCATCTAAATCTTGATGAGTGCATCTCCATACAGGCCTGTGCAGCTTTATAAATGCATGTTAAGGGAGTCAATACGTCTGAAATGATCCTGGCCATGTATGGAACACGTACAGAGTGACTCCTTTAATGATGCAGTATATTGCTGACCTGCAAGCCATGATGGAGGAACTTTTAGCGGAAAGAGCTTAGACGATTTCTAGATGAACACAATAGATAACAGGTGTAATACGTAGATATGTAGAGCTGTATAAAACATTGGTCACTGAGCCGCATTCAACTTTTGGTGGGAAAAATCATCCATATGGTGATCAGTTCAGATGTTTCAACAAGATGGCAGAATGTTGTTTCCCCTATATCCACCAGATGGTGCCTAAAGTGGATGTAAATGTAAATTCCTTTGATTTGTAGCACAAATCTCTCGGTTAAAGCTGAACGACTGTTGTTGAGTGATTCAAATCTGGTCGGGCATCAATCACCCCCTGGTGACGGCCTATATGGAGCAGACCACATACACTGAACAGGATTCTGTCAGTTCCAAAGAACAACATTGCTTGGAGGTTTTTAATATGAAGCAAATAAATCGCAAATGTGAAGGTGAAGATACAGATTTACCTTATGTTTACATAAAAAAATAAAACATGGCTGCATACAAAAAAACAGAAAAAACACGGTAATATGTATATAAAGGAACTAAAAGCATAGAGAAATGCTGTGATGAGTATTGAAAGGCAAGTACGTTACGTCAAAAGTCAGAGAACAGCCTTCTGTTAAGTTGTTAAGCAGCAGGAAAGAAAGGAGAAAATATATATTTAACGTAAATTTCTACATAAGCTTTAACAGCTAAATATAATATTTCAAAGAAATCTGCAGGGATATTTTTCCACACCTTCAAAGTTCAGTCTTAGAAGTTGGTTTTGCATTTTCTACTTCTCAGGTATTCCAAACACATTCAGTGATGTTGAGGTCTGGACTCTGGGGTGGTCAGTCCATTGTTCAGCTTCTTTGTTTGATGTGTCCGTCTCCTTTTCTCAGTGAGGTTCTTCTTGACAGCTACACATCCTTTCTGACCCATAGCGCTGAGTCGTCTTCTCACAGTGGAAGGATGGACAGAAACACCTGTGGATGTTTTCAGATCTGAAGCAGCTTGAAGTGCTGTTTATCTGAGGGACAGTTTTGTTGGTCTTCCATGTCCTACATGGTTGTTAGGAGTCCTTTTTTTCTCTGTGTCTTTTTAATCATTTTTGAACTCTAGTTTTGAAAACTCCTGCTTTTTCACTTATTTTCCTTTGACTGTCTCCTTTTTATATAAGCGGATTATCTTATGTGTAATCTTTCTAGGAATATCGCCTCAAAAATGAATTAAGTAATGGCTGTTTTGACTAGAAATGATGTAAATGAATAAATGGAGGGTGGTCTCTGCACTGGTCTTTTGCACTGTACTGTACCTTTTAACTGAGTCCCCATCTCTTTGGCCTTAGGCCTTTTCCCAGTGCAAAAGCAGTACAGCTGTCTGAGTTCAAACAGTATTTGAACCTTTATCACAAGTATGCAGTTCTATTAAGCAATCAGTGAAGTAGAGAGTGTTAGACCTGTCATTTATCAGTATGTTTGCTGTTTACCTGTCCACGTCTTGTCATATATATCAAAAGATTAGACTCTATACAGACTAATAGACCTTACTGCTACCATATGTCCGACTTTAACGCTACTTTTGCTGTTTGTGACTTCTTATTTCACTTTTCTTATATTTGCTCCTGCAAACCCCAAAGTATAAGGATATGTCAGTTACTTTTTATTGCATCCAAATTCAATAAAAAGACCTGAAATAAAAAGATAAGTGGCAACATATTGAAGTCATCAGGCTCTTTCAGCTGGAGCATCCCGAGATGAAGGAGGTTTACAACATGTAGGCCACGGCAGGCTTTAATGCTGCATTAAGAGATTTTATTTGGTGAAGAGCCGAGGTGCCGTCGCAACTTTAAAGATACGCGCACTAATCTTCTCCCATAGGCGCGCTCCCTCCGCGCACAGCAGGGCGAATAAAGCAGGGTTGGTCAGCGGATTCCATCGATTATATAATTGCGCCGCCGCCAGCCCGACTGGCCCACATGTTCAGGTGCTGTGACGCAGGCACATCCCTTAAGCCGTCGTTGGAGCTGAGAGAAGGAGGGATTTGGGCTTTTTTCCCCCCACTTTTATCTACATTCTCATCATTCCCAATGTTTGAAAAGCCCTGTTTTGCTCAGGGTTGGTTTTTGGGGATGCTTATGTTGCCAAGTGATTTTGTCGCATAGGACTCAGATAAATGATTACTCACTGTTGGGCTAAATATAGTTATGTAACAATGGCATCTGCCCGCAACAATAACACAGAAGCACCGCCGCTCCTCCGTTTGCAGCTGAGACGCAACGCAGACGAGTCACGAACGCCATTCATCCTCAAATCACGGCTGAATACACATACGATAAGATAGTTCATTCATAATTCTTGTCATGCTGCAGCGCCTGCTACCATCTAGGGATATAAGAGTCATGCTGTTATTAGTTAATATGTCATGCAAAGGTCTTGTTTGAGTGCACAGTTGACTTGTGAGCCCAAGGACAAAAGGATTGCGATAGCTTAGGCCATTAGAGGACTTCAGTCCAACACACTGACCCTCAGACACTTAATGCTCCCCCTGGGCTCTGATTAGTTGAAACAGGGATATTTGAGTCCTAGTACACAGTTTGGGCCCATCTCTGCCTTTGGATGGTTGTGTTAATAAGATGCCTGCAACATCTAAGACCACCCTTCGTTTACTTAATGTCCAGTCAAATTCAAGTTATTCATTTTTCACCATCAGGAAATGGAGCAGGACACATACATTGAACACTTTTTGCCTTTATTACAGCTTCCATTCTTTTTTAGTTCCTTATTTTATCCTATGTATTCTGCAGGGATGTTTTTCCACACCACCAAAGTTCAGTCTCAAAAGTTGGTTTCAGTGATTCAGTGATGTTGAGGTCTGGACTCTGGGTGGTCAGTCCGTTGTTCTGAGAACACCAGCAGCTTCTTTGTTTGATTTGCAAATTGTCTGTTCTCCTTTTTCAGTAAGGGCTTCTTGATTTACCTCACATCCTTTCAGACTCCTGTTTTTTCACTTATTTCCCTTTGACTTTCCTCTCTTTTATGCAAGTGGGTTATTTTATATCTAATGTCTTCAGAAATATCTCCTGAAAAAATGAATAACTTGTACTTATAGGCTGTTTTGACTGGACATAAATAAATGAAGGACAGTTTCTGACTTCTGCATGGCAATATAAGTTAGGGTACGACAATGTAAAGGTTTTGATGTGCTACTGAAGACTAGGAACACCATGAGCACTGACTCCTATAAATACATGTGACAAAAAGGGTTCTTCAGGGGACCAAAAGTAGTTCTTCTTGTCCTGCTCCTGAAGAACCCTTTTTGGCCTTTGAACGGATGGTTCTTTAAAGAACCATTTTTGTAACTGCACATTTTTGTGAATGTGAACAATGAGCTTCATTCTCCAATATCATTCTAAGTTTTTTCTTGTGTTCTTGAGAAAAGAAGTCTATGTCAGGTTCATGGCGTGTTCCTAAACTGCAGAATTGTTCACACCTATTTGTTCTTGAGTGTGCGTAGATTCTGTTCTTAACTAAGAACAAATCCCAGAACGGTTGATGAATGAGGCCCAACCTTTTTTAAGGTTCCACATAATGTAAAGGTTCTGTACCATCTAGAGGTTTTTCCTAGGGCTACATGTCCAAGCCTAGAACCATTTAGAAACCTTTATTTTTAAAAGTGTGTCATAGTTTGATAGTACATTTAAACTCTTAAAAAAGATGGTTCTTCAAGGGTTCTTTAGCAAAGACAGTGGTTTCTATGGAACCATGAACATTCAAAGAACCATTTGCATGCTTAAATGGTTCTTTGCATGGTGAAATTGTTCCTCATATTAAGAATGTGTTGTATATGGTTCTACATAGCACCAAAAAGTGTTCTTGTATTGTTACAAGCTTGACGTCATAACAATCTTAAGGAACCCTTTTGGTGCAATATAGAACCATTTTCAAAAAGGTTCTATATAGAACATAAATTCTATATAGAATATACAACACATTCTCCAACAATCTGAAGAACCATTTCACCATGCAAAGAATCATTTAAACATACACCATTGGGCCTCATTCACCAACTATTCTTAAGTAGAAATTTCTTCTTAAACCCCACTTACACAGTTATCACGATGAATCTGACATTTACCAGTGTTTTCTTATTTGGGATTTGTCGTTAGGTAAGAACAGAATCTACACTCACTCAAGAGCACAAAAGTGCACGTCATGAACCTGACGTAGACTTTTTCTTAGGACCTTTCTTAAGAACAAATTTAAGAAAAAACTTAGGAACATATTGGAGAATGAGGCCCATTGTCTTTACTAAAGACCTGTTGGAGAACCATCTTGTTTAAGAGTGTAGAGAGCTGTAACAGAACCTCATATCTCCAAAATGACTATATAGGAGAGAGAAAAACAAACATTTTTGCATTGAGTGCATGTAACAAAATGTCATTCAAAATCCCTGCGAACCGTTTCTGTTGGCAGATCATGAAATGTTCACACAATATATAATATGGTAAGGTTAAAGGGGAATTTCACTGAATTTTTAAAATTTCTGCATAATTAAATGGTTAAAATGTAAACAGTCATTCAGAGTGTTTTGAAGTGAAATGCTCCTTTATAGAGAAACTTCCCGAATCAGAATTGTTCATAGTGGTGGTGATAGGAACCAGATGTCCCTCTTAAAGCTCTCTCACAGAAAGTTGTTACATGAAATGGTTGTGAATACACTGCATGATGTCTGACACATTGTTTTAAATACTTTGGAGACAATTTTGGCCTAAAACATATTAAAATCAACTCATGGCTAGACACATGCAAGTCCCTGTGAGGCAAAATAGTCCACAAATAAAACTGGTCAGTAAATAAAATGGCAATACTTGTGTTGTAGACATTGTGACCCCTGGTTCCTATCACCACCACTGTAAAGAAATCCAAATCTGTAAGTTGCTCCACAACAAACCATTTCACATGAAAACACTCTGGTTGACTTTGTTTACATGTTAGTGAGTGAAAAATGCAGAAATTTTGAAAAATCTGTGGAATTACTGTTTACATCTTGCTTGTTAACAACAAAGCACTCCTATGTGTCGCACAGGATGAGTATATGCCAAAGACTATACATGTAAATCATGGCTGTCTTAAAACCTCATATCTCTGAAATGGTAACTTTATAAGTGGAGCAAAAATGTTCTTAACTTTTAATCTATTTGGTAAGTGATAAAATGTGAATAGAACCTCGATATTGGTTATATTAGTGTGACAGATGCAAGGAATTGGTTTGGGTCAGTGATCGGCTCACCCACTACTCCGATTCCCACAAGCTGCTCCACTGACACAGCTTGGACATTCTTTATGCTCCAAAGACAGGTGGTCAAGTCTTAACCTGTGCCCTCCTTCCTCCCTGCTTGCCAGAACTGGTCTTTGCTGCTTGATCCCGCTGACCCTTAATCACGTCTTAGAAGGCCTCTCGGCTAAACTCCCTTTATCTGGCATTATGGTGGCGATTAGGATGTTTCAGCAGTTCATCTTAGGATAATCCCAGGCACCGCTGATAAAAACAGAACAGCAAAGTGCAAAAATGTCCTCAATGAGGTGTTTATTCCATCTGAATGTGATGATGTTTTGAGCCTTTCACACCGTCAAAGACAAAACTCTGTCAGGCGCTGTGTTCTCCGGTGTTCAGCTAATGCTTAAATCCCATCTGCTTCGGCAATCCTTGAAGACTGGATCAAAGCGGATGAAACGGATTTAGTTGAATGTGCCGTAAAGTGACGTTATTATATTGGAGTTTCTGTAATCCTGGAGAAAACGGTTAAAGGACCTCAAACTCAGCATCATTTTAATCATTTGTTTCTTGTTCCATTTTACAGTTCAGATGACTCCACATCCCAAGACCACAGAGTAAGAGAAAGTGAGTTATTTTGATATGCACAACACATCATCTAGTGTTTTTGGCCATTTACACAGATTCCATTTTGTTTAGTAGTATTTTGTAAGTAATTATAATGTTCTTGTGCATCGTATGCACTGTATGTGGGTCAGTGACATGCATTTTTGTGTACATGTCCTTCAGTCTTTATTAGATAATTTAATAAATACATGATGTATCAAAATTATTATTATAAGTGAATACATTGTTAGTGCGTCAAAATAAAATTTGTTTTGGACATTTAGGCTTCCCAAAGTCTCACAATGTCAGATGGTGCAACCATCCAACCATATACACAGATTAAGGTAACTATTAAAAATGAATTAGCTCTACAATCCTAAAACATAGTTTGGTATGATTTTATACTTGAAACATTGAAAATCATCACATGTTGCAAAACATGGCCCCTTTAACAGTGGTCAACTTGCAAAACTTTGGTCCATAAATTCTGATTCTATCAAATGTCATGCACCACAACTGACAACAGAGACTTTTATTCTAACGTGCTTCTTGCATCATTAAGAATCCAAGTGACCTTTATCACAAATATTTAAAAAGGTCATTTTAGAGTTATGGCAAAAGGAAAATCAGTGAAAATGTGTTGTTATTATCATAATAATGTTTATTTATTTAAAAAAAATCATGTATAACCTTGAGTTCAAGGACAAAAATTATATGGGTGTCCAAGTACAAAATTTAGTTTATACACATTTTCAGCAGTGGTAAATATATTTTTATTAATGCGTGGTTGTGCCACTTTACATTTTGTGGGTAGTAAACTAATGATGCTCTTTTAAAATGAATTTATTCCATTTGAAGCCATGAAACAATTTCACACTTAGGAGATTCACGCTGATAGTAAAAAAAACACCATATCCTTTTTGATAAGAACATTTTATTTGTCATTGACTCATATATGGATACACATGCATAAATCACTGTTACTATGGTCGGTACTATGTTTCTATTCTATTCTATTTAATTCTATTCTATATAATATTATAAAATATATTACATTCTACATTTTTTACTTTTTTTTCCATGGACTCAAACAATTTTTGCCTGATTTCAGAAAAAAACCTTTGATTTAACAGGCTGTTTTTGTCACTGTGTCTAAGACTGATATCTGTAAATGAGCTCTGTTCTGATTGTGACTCCTTTGTAAGTAAGATTTGGCTCGTTAAAAAAGCAGTCCCGGTTGAAAAGTACAAAGCAAACTGTTAAATTTCGACTGAAATCCTCGGGGGCTTTGGACCCCAGCCACTGTTTTCAAAAGTCTAGATCTGAGGCTGAAATGCTACATTTGTTAACCTTCTCTAGCCTAAATGAGTCTTATGTGACATCACAAACATAATGAATTGAAAACTTGCTTTTGTTCAGCTTAGTTTCCATGCATGGACTGTATGGAGTGGGCAGTGAAGGATGTGTTTTGAAACTTATGTACATTGTCAGTCAAACTCTTATTTAAAAAAGCAAGCTTTTTTTCCATGATATGGGCCTTTTAAATCATATCACCAAGACATATATGCCACTCGACGACCTTATTATTATTATTATCCCTCATATTCCGCGTCTGTAATAATCCACAGATGGAGTGGCTGGCGAGAGCCGGGGTGGCTCATATGGGGACGGCTCATTGTTCACGGCGGAGAAGCTGCTCAGACAGGCGCTGCAGGTGAGGCTCTGCCAGCGCACCAATGTGACCTTGGACTGGCACTGGAGTGCAACTTTTGCTCCAGACCAGATGAGTTTAATGCCACACAGATTGCAGCGTCTCTCTGGAAGACAGATTAGCAGAATCTAGACATTTTTAATCACAAATTCCCTGTTCTGAGCGAGTCTGAAATACTGCTCCTATAGGAAACATTATACTTTCATAGAAGCCTCTGATTAACTGGGCCATATTTATCAAACACTTCAGAGTAAGAACACTGATCTATCAGTTCATGTAATTCTATTCAGTGTAAAAGGCATAAGCTGATCCCAGATCAGCATTCTTACCCCAGGGGGGTTGATAAATTTGGTCAAATGTCATTACATGAACATTAAGGGTATGTAAACTGCACTGATGCATCAGTATGAAGGTATTGAGAATGTATGTAAGAAGTATGTGCATATTGTTTGATGAAAATAAAAGTCTTTGGCTATTTTTAAATGTAATTTTCCCCCCCAAAAAGGTTTTATTGGCTATATTCCAATACTGAGTATTTCCTACAGTCACATTTGTGGATTCAGTGTATTTTTCTAAGTAGTTCTGAAACGTAACAAATTACTGAAACGTGAAGACATTCAAGACTCCATGCTGCACTGAATCATTTCCATAATTGAATAATACTGTTACATAGTCAGAGGCTTCCAGTCCTAATGTACATGTTAAGTAGGCGAACGTGTGTGCATTCAAATCTGTTTATCTCTTTTAGCCTCATGACTGGCGGCCACAGTCTCCTCCTCGGAGCAGGCGAAAGTTGCTGCAGTCGGCAGGAATCATGCCCTACTCTCCTCTGAATGTAGCTTACAATGGCAAAACCTGCATTCTCTTTAGGGCCAGGAAGCTGGCCATCAGATACAGAAACCACACTTTAGTAGACCTGACCGAGAGGGCTTTTGGCCCTGACGCACTGGTGGACACCAAAGGATCATTCTGCAGCAAAGATAAAGCCACGTAAGTCGAATTATTATTTTTTTCAGGGTGAATCTTCCTCACATTATCAGTTCTTAACTCACCATCACAACATTTGCTTAATACTTCTAGGAAATTATATCATTCTGCCCAACAGACCATAAGCACTTTAGATTTGCATCTTCACTCATCTCTCAGATAAAGAGGCTTTAAGAAGTGGACAGTCGGGAGGCCTTTGGTGATTTCACATGGATTGACTCTTATGTGAGAATGATGCTGAGAAATTATTCAGAAATTTGTAAGGGATGAACATAAATCTCTGAAAAAAAAAATTCTAACCTGTAAATAAAGGCGGTTTATTTAAAGTTTAGTTCATACTTTATTTTGATTTCTTTTCTGACTGGAATACCAGGGAGGTTTTAATGAGTTATTTTCGACAAGTTAAAGGCTGAACCAATACCCATTATCAATATCTCAAGTCATCATCATTAATAATATTAATCACACAAGTACATGATTAATTAGTTATCTAATAAATTATATGAAGGCCTAGATTATGCTTACATTTTGTATTTAAGGTATTTTTTTCCCTTTTTTCATATTTCAGTGTCAACAAATGACAAAAACATGGAAAAAACCTAAATGTTTTTCTTTCCACAAAATGAGACTATACACATAATAATAACTGTCTGTCAAATTCAAATCATAATAAAATCTCCTCTTTTTTCTATAAATGCTGTCATCGATCACAAGTTTAGAACCTGTTTTTTACACAGAATACTTCTCTTTTTCCAAGAGTAAGAAATAATGCTTTTGTTATTACTTGTTGTGGGATTAAATTCCATTACAACTCAGGGTATAACTCTGATTATAGATATAACTGCTATAAGTGCTTGTGCTTTTTCTTTAGACTCAACCTACGTTTTGGAGATGTGGAGGACCTCAGAGGCCTGTCCATCAGGTCAGTATAGTTCTTCAGTGCTACTGTATAATTTAAAATAAAGCCATTAAGGACACGTCTTCATGCCAAGGAAACACTTGCATCTCTGCATTGTGTTTCATCAGACTGCAGATGTCCAACACTTTCTACGAGTCAGCAGGACAGAACTGGTTCACTCTGGACAGTGTTCACATCCACTACAACTGGACGCACGAGGCCACGTTCAATGCGACTGACGTTTATGCTCCGTCCACCAACTCCTATCACTGCCAACATGTCAGCAGCCTCCAGAAATACGACACGCTGCTGGTGCCCAGCTCCAACACTGACAACTCAGCAAACTGGCATATAACATTCACTGATTTCCAGGTAAGCATGCAACAGCATTCATGAACACGTATTTACTTAATATTAAATATTTGAGTATATGCTCTATTAATATTGAAGTAGTTGGTCAGGATGCAGTGTAATAATTACAGTTCACATAGAAATCTTGGTTGTTGTTTTTTTTTGAAGAGGATACCCCAGCCATGGCATGCAGGATACATGATGTAACATGCACTGCTCTACTATCTGGGCCACCCCACTAGGGACTACTCTGTTTTCCCAGGGACATCTACAAAGCATTGCTTACATTGGAAATGAGATTTAAATTGAGCTTTGGGGTTTTCTGTTGCGATATCTGTCAAATATGAAGAATTTGCTCAATAGTCAAAGCATAAATGTGTTCTTTTCTGGTTAATGTTGCCAGGTTGACTGGGCCAAAATCCATTTCAACCTAATTACATACTGTAGAGCACAACCTAAATGAGTGTGTTACTAATTTCAGTTTACAGTTCTGTTTATTTTGTGTGAATGTGAAAAGTTACAGTTTAAACACTGTTACACACTGTTAGGATCGATCAGATATAGTTTTTGTTGTGTAAACATGATTTTAATCTGATTCATAGGCTAAGCAGAACGCCACCATCAGAAACAGCTTCAGCAGAGTAGCCAGCTAGCTAGTTAGCTAAAATACTGTTGCTCTGTTTGTCTTGAGGTAACATCTTGTTGTGCTTTCTGCTTTTGCCTTAATTGTAGGGATAGTACAGTAGGAAAAATGATGATAAATCCTATAAAGTATAAATCCTATTTGGCTGTGCTACAGTATTTAATGGTGTAGGCTACAACATTAGCTTACCTAGCTAACAATGTTAAGGCGGTGAACTTTCTGCTAAGCCTGTAAGTTTGATGTTTATCTCTGAAAACCTTGATCACACAACGAAAATACGTTTAGTCTAACCTTACAGTTTTCACACGCATACAAATACTGACGATAATTTGCATTTGAGAAATGTAAAGTTGTGTTTTGTGTTGAGCTCTACAATTTCACTACAATTTTCTTCAATTTCTCTTAGCTTGCAGTGAAGGCTATGACTTTAACACAGCTAGTTAGCACCATAAACCCCTTAATTTCCCAAGTACATTACATCTTAAAGCTTACTATTCAGTAATGATATGGACAGTTCCACTAACAATTCCAATTATGTCATTATAGCTTTATAGCAGTGAAGAATAGAAGCCTGAATGGTGGGTCCTTAATATTCAAGGGGTTAAAACAGCTTAAGTCAGAGAGCTTTCAGCTTAGCCTATCAGTTTAGTTAGTCCCTAAAAACTTAGCCTATTAAGTTATCCCTAAAACCCTCGATTACACCTCTACAGAGACATTTACACCTGCTCTGCTCTACCAGTGTGACCTTTGTAAGCATGCACAATAAAAATGTATGTATTTTGACAAAACCTGAACTGTGTGCAATCCAGTTTCTCAGTGTAGGCCTGTCACAATAACCACATTTTAGCTGATGCTTAATTGCCGGATAAACAATTGTAATTAACAATTTAATTGCTAAATAATCAACTATTAAAATTCATGCCTGAAGTGGCCACATTAGCTATCTTGCTTCCTAGCTATCGATACTTAGTAGCTCGCAACTGACAAGACATTGTTCTAGTTCAAATAAACAAACAATACTCACCGCTGCCCTCTAAAGGTGTTTTAGCACCAAATCAGAAGTGAGAAGTTAGACCGTGATCAGTAAATGCATTTTCTGGTTTCCTGTGTTTATAAGAACAAGAAGAAGCACCTAGCTCCCATTCTGTTTGTTGTGAAGAAATTACATGACTGTGAAAGCAAAACATAATTGCAAAAAGCTCAAAAATGGGATTTTTGACAATGTTCTGTCCAGCCTTCAAACAGTATTATATGAAGGATGTATTTGTGTGCAAAGCATGGATATATAAATTACTAGGCTTTCTTTTCACCAAACACTGCTTTGATTTCTTTCACCAGATCCAAGCTTTCAACGTGCAGTCCAGCAAGTTTGCCTCAGCCAGCGACTGCGCCACTTTCTTCACCCCGGCCATCCTCATGGGCCTCATCACCTCCCTCATCCTGCTGCTCGTCCTGGCCTACGCCCTGCACATGGTGGTGCACCTGAAGCACATCGACCGTTACGAAGAACACAAGACCACTGTGTACTTTCCTCGCAATACGGAAGTCGAATGCACAGAGAAGAACAACCTGTAGACCTCCAGGATCCTCCTGAGGACCTCCAAGCAGAGAGAGGGACAGTTTGGCTCTGAAGTCCGTTCAGTGAAAGCCGACGGCAGGCTGGAAGCACTTCCTTCAGAGCTTTTCGGCTCTGACTGCGCTACTACACTCGCAGGATTGTGGTGGGACAGTGAGAGTCCAAAGCTGATTCCTGTGGGATTTTCAAGCTCTGCTGCATTACGGTGGATTCTGAAATACCGAGATTCATATCTGCCAGCGTTCAACAAAAAGTCTTTGATGGAAAATGCCGTTAGAGGCCCGTGAGCAGAAGAACTGCAGATGTTTTTTGAATGAAATTCAGATTAGCACAATATCCAATGTACCTTGAATTTGCATCGTCTGTCTTAGCATATAACTTTCTGGCAAGGACCAGGTTAATTTAGTTATGGACAATTTATTACACTTACAAACTGTGTATAAACCATATTATGTAATTGAGCTACTACAAATTTTAAGTCCTGACCTGTCTTTATGTGTTAGACACTGATAATATGGAAATACTATGCCTAAATGAATGAATTTCAAACATTTATTTTCTTTTTAAGAAGTATTATCTGTAAAAATAAGTCTAAAAAAGCCTACAGTACAGTGCAAATGTCAGAGACCACCCTTCATTTATTTAACTTCCAGTCAACATGTTGTCCATTTTTCAGGAGATACGTCTGAGGAGATGTAAGATAATCTAATGAGAACGTCAAAGGAAAATAAGTCAAAAACTAGAGTTCAAAACATAATTAAAAGATATAGAAGAAATTAGACTCCTAACAACCATGCAAGACGTGGTAGACCACCAAAACTATCCCCAACAGATAAACAGCACTTTCCTCTATGAAAGAGAGGAGAAAATCAAGCTCCACTCTTACTTCAGAGCTGAAACAATCCAAAGGTGTTTCTGTCCATCCTTCCACTGTGAGAAGACAACTCAGCGCTTTGAGTCTGAAAGGACGTGTAGCTGTCAAGAATCCCTTTCTGAGAAAAGAAAATAGACAACATTTTGCAAATTAAACAAAGAACAATAGAGTGACCACCCCAGAGTCCAGACCTCAACATCACTGAACGTGTTTGGAATAATTTGGATTGTGAGAAGCAAAAAGTGCAACCAACTTCTAAGACTGAACTTTGGAGGTTGTGAAAAAATATATTTTCTTCCAAAAAACTGAAAGCAAATCTCCTGAAAAGAACGATATTATGTTTAGTTGTTGAGGCTTGTGTAGATTTTTTTCAGTTAAATAGTTAAATATGTTTCGTACTGTTATGACTATATTAAAGAAATAATAATAGGTGGTCTCTAACGTTTGTACAGTACCATATATATCAGTGATGTACACTAAGAATGGTTTCTATGCAGTATGTAACGAAACCCAAAGTGTCACCAAATACCAAATCTCCCCCTCGAGGATTTGCAGAGGATGAATTAGGCTGTTCTATTCTTTACTGGGAGACGTGTTTTTGAATAGTTGTGTTAATGCATTTCTGTGTAAACTGTATGTTTACTCCGGTTTTGTAATTTCTTATTTTTTTAATTGTGTATGCTTTTAAGCTGAGCCTTTGACAGTGAGGGTGGATATCGACCTCTTACTAACCAGTTGGATTTTATCTACAACCAATGAAGCACAAAGGAAGCAACAACAAGTTGTAACATACAGCATGCCAGTGGCTACAACCATTTCAATACCACAGTCTGGTGGTTGGCATTGTATAATCTATACTGATAATAATCATTATATTCTAAATGAGGGGGAAAAATATACTTTTTTCATTTACACATGTATGAAATGGGCGATCGTGTGTTGATGTTAAATTCTTCTTGTCCTCTCTGTTTCTGTTGAGTTCAATAAAACCAGCAGCACATTCAGGAGAGCTGTCAGTCCTGCTTGAATATTATTGAGATTATTTGTTTGTTGTATCTGTGTATTGAATGTTTAGTGTGGGAAACTGTTAAAAGTGATACTTTTGGCCAAATATATCAACCCGAATACAACAGAATCACAGCCTAAACAGATCTCATCTTTGGCTGGGCAAAGATTTAAGTTCATATCTGAGATTTTGAAGTTTCTCCATATGTTCTCTAAACATGCCTGAGCACAAATCAAAAGAAAATGTAAATTTAATCAAACCATATAGCTAAAAAGTGAATTTTTATAATTCGCCTTTTTTTAAGGAATGAGTTTGAAGTAGTATGTATACATTCCCAGTCCATACAATCCATATATGGAATTATACTACAAAAACAGCCTATTTTGATTGTATTGTTTTTGTGATGTCACAGAAACCAACACATTTACATACATCCACTTATACAGCAGACTGGCTTCACACATTCATGCCTTAATTTATCATGTTAAATCTAGGCGTGCTATTGAACAAATCCCGATTTTAGTTTGAACACAATTATGTAAACCAAACCAAACATTCAAATGGGTCCTGTTAGGACCAGTTTGTCCAATGGATAGAAAATTTCCATCATTTCATACCAATCAGAACACGTTCTGGAGCATTTCCGTTCATCATCATACTCAGTTTAGCTCTTGGGCATGAATGGGTTAATGGCCTCGACCACCGCAACACGAAATCCCAACGGCCACCTAGCGGCGAGGCCGTGTATGTGCAACTTCGGCATATTCAAATCAACGTGTAAAACAAACCAACAAAAACAAACAAACAAACAAAAAAAATAAATAAACAATGCTGAAGCAGACTGTTAAAACTCAAAAGAAACACTGGTGTGTCTGCTACAAAAAAAAACTGAGGCATTAATATTTTGTAAGACCATAGAATCTGTGGATTCTTACTGTTCAATGCATTTACGCAACTGAACTAGGCGGTATCCCAAATCTCTCCCTGTTGAACTTTTTAGTGCACTTATATATGTGTACTCGTAGTGTGCGATCAGAGCCATTTAGAGCGAGCCTGGTCACTTCCTATTCCTCCCATTATACCAAAAACTTTACTGTAAAACGCCAGACGGCGCCAGAGTCACTAATAAATGGAGTGAATGAAGCCAAATATATATGATAAACAAAAATGTAAATTAATTTTAATGTCTTTTACGTTGGAATTTGTTTCATTTTGTAAATTAGAGAAGTCTATTAAATGAACAAATCCATAAAAACTTACCAGTTATTCTTCTGTTCTTTTTCTACAGCAAACATCAGGATGTAGGATGTAGCACTGCTGCTAAGTGGTGGCTGTTTCACGCATTGCTGGCATTAATGTACATTAGAAACAGTTATAAAGTCCTTTAAAAAACACCACAGCAGTTCTGTCCTGAAAAATCAAGAGTATTTGTTTGCATAAGAAGTATTAACTACTGACAAATTGCAATTTTTCACAAAAGCTCCACAGAAGCCAGTCATTTTATGATAAGTCATTCACACCCCGGACACCACCTGTTCCAGCTCCTTCCCTCAGGGCCATCGCTTCAGCCAGATGAGGGTCAGGACATCCAGGCTACAGAGGAGCTTCTTCCCACAAGCCATCACTCTCTTAAACAGTTAATTATTACACAAACAATATTCCAGCTTTAAAACTGCACTTCTAAATATACTGGTATATAGTATCACACTCAACCCCATCCTCTGAAACCACCGTCTCAGACCAGTGTTTATTCTAGCAGCTTACTTACCTGCCTTATTACCCCACTTATCTGACTGTCACCTCTCTGATCCCTTTCTCTGCCACTATACACCCTTTACCTGCTGCTGCACTCAGCACTTTAACTTTAGACCCATACTTTGCACAATGTAAAGGTTACAGGTATAACTGTGTGTGTGTGTGTTGTGTGTGTGTGTGTGTGTGTGAGTGAGAGAGAGAGAGAGAGAGAGAGAGAGAGAGAGAGAGAGAGAGAGAGAGAGAGAGAGTGATGGTAGGAATGCATGTTTTATTTTATTTTTTGTATTTTATTTTAGATTTATTATTTTATTTTATTCATTACATGTAAATGTCTGTCTGATACTGTGCACTGTGAGTTCCTGTAACCAAAACAAAATTCCTTGTATGTGTAAGCAAACCTGGCCAGTAAAGCTTGATTCTGATTCTGATATTAGACCAGAGCCGGTTTAAGGGGAGCTTGGCCGCCTCCCGTTTCTCCCTTTATGTCAAATCAGGACTGCAGAACGCCAGAGGGCGCCCGAGAGCAAGTCTTACATAAATGAGGGAGAATGAATAAAAACGGTTAAAAACGAAAAGTTAAAACAGCTTCTAACCGCTTAACCAGGACTTTCCTTTAATTTTATGAAGTATAAGGATGCAGTTCACTAAAAAGTAAAGAAAACTTACCTGAGTTTTAGGCGGAAAGGGCGTTAACGTTACTGCTACCGAGTGCTGATTGGTTGGCAGTACTGCTACTGCGTGCTGATTGGTTGGCGACCTGATCAGCTCCTTTTTTTTATTTTTTTATATTAAAGAATTCGTATAATAACATGCCTTACAACACACGTTAAATAAATCATAATCAACATATAATTAATAAATCAACATTTAATAATAAAAAGTACTTTCTTGTGTTTTATATTTTTCACAGAAGTGCCATATTCCTTAAGCTCACGGAGGAAACGTGTAAAGTTTGGCTTAAGCTGATCAGCTCGTTGCCTGCCTGAAGCGACTCGCACTGACGTCATGAACGTACACAAAGTCCTCTAACTGGAGTTTAAAAGTGTTTTATCTGTTCTGTCTTCAGGGAATGAACACACTCTTCTATATAAAAATGTTTTTACAAATTTACAAACTACGATTTTCCTCAAATGCTCCATATTAATCGATTCATTCTGGATTCGCTCGGGAGCGCCCTCTAGTGTTCAACATAACAGGAAGACTGAGTGTCACTAGGGATTCTCTGTACTATGTAGGGAGCAGGACGCTATTTGAGACTGAGCCCAACGCTGAAAGCGGAAGCTTCCGGTAGCATGTTAGCCATAAGTCAGCTTTTTCTTTCATGGCTTAACTTGTCAAACCCTCATGTTCAGACGCGCCTTCCTCTCTGGCCTGTTTTATCGACGTGGTTTGCCGTTAGTGGACAATAACGCTGCTGTTCGGCGCTTTTATAGGAGGATGGAGCGCGCAGTTGTGCGGTGTGTGCCCTGGGAGTCCAAGCTCACTATTTCTTTCACCCTCGATGGCAGCCACAAACACATGCTGAGGGACCAGACAGAGGAGCTGGGTAAGGTGCTCGCTCGGATATCCAACAGTATTATCAAGGCGCGGGGAAAGGGGAAGAAGGCGAAGGCGAGCAAAGCCGGCGAGGCTGCCGCGGACGTGTCCGAGGAGCCGGTGGTTCGGCTTTATTTCAACGGAGACTTCGTGTCTGAAGACTCCCTGAACTCTGACGCATGGCAGGACGGGGCAGAGCTGCAGGTCGGAGAAACCAGGTACAAAATTGAACGGAATCCTCCCACTTTCACCACAGCCGAGCTGCCTGCGTCCCTCCTGGCTGGCTTTCCAGTTTGCCCCAAGCTGGAGGTGGAATTCGGGGATCTGAAGGACTCCACGTTTACGTGGTATAAAGAAAGCTCTCCTAATGCGCATGCGCCTGGTCAGGATGGCTGCTGGGTGGAAGCTGGCAATGAGCGGGTCTTCATTCCATCCAATCTGGACATTGGCTTGAGGCTGAAGTTGAAGTGCACTCCTGGAAATGAGTCCAGATATGGAGTGGCCAAAGAGCTGGTGTCTCCAGGCACTGTGGAGGCAGGACCAGGGGTCTGCACCTTTGACAACAGACACATGTACACAAAGAAGGTCACAGATGCCTCCACGGTCAGAGTTGTGTCCTACAACATCCTAGCTGACATCTACGCTCAGACCGAGCTTTCCAAAACGGTCTTGTACCCGTACTGTGCTCCGTACGCACTGGAGCTAGACTACCGCCAAAGCCTGATCAAGAAGGAGCTTTCTGGATACAATGCTGACATCATCTGCCTTCAGGAGGTGGACAAGGGAGCTTTCAGCGACAGCCTGTCACCTGCGCTTGATGCTTTTGGCATGGACGGTGTCTTCAGGATAAAGGAGAAGCAGCACGAGGGGCTGGCTACCTTTTACAGGAGGTCCAAGTTCAAGTTAATAGGCCAGCATGACATAATGTTAAGCGAGGCCTTAATGAAGGACGCTGTCCATAGCATGTTGCTTGAGAAAGTGTCCAGCAACCCCACTTTGAAAGAGAAAGTGGTGCAAAGATCAACGACTTTGCAGGTATTAAGATGTGCCACCTGGATCCAGAAGACGGCCATGATTACAGGGGGATTCGACACATTTTTCAAATGTTCTGCATAATTTAGTCGTTGAGATGTGAACCAAGTCCTTCAAAGTGGTTTGATGGGAAATGATTCATCGCAGAGAAGCTCACCAATTCAGATTTTTTATAGTGGTCGTGATGGGAATCAGGGGTCTTGATACAACACAAACATAGCCATTTTATTATCCAAAACAACCAGTAAACCTACAGGCATATTCTGTGTTTTATGTTTAATACTGATGATTGTAAAATAGTCATAAACCTGAAGAAAGACTATTTTGCCTTATGAGGCTGTGCAGGTACCCCTCTGTCATGAATGGCTTACAATAAATGGATTAAAATACAGTTAAAGCCAAAACATGATCAAAAAAAACTATCATAAAATAAGCTGTCAGACATCAGGCAGCATATATTTGACCATTTCATGTAACAAATTCATGCGATAGAGTTTTCAGAGGCGTTAAATCTTCACGTCTGGTTCCTGTCACCAAAATAGTGGTAAATCTCTAAAAATGAGTTTTTTTTGGGGACTGTTCTGTCCCACAGTGCCTTGCATGTATATTTCAACCATAAATACATTCAAGACATACGCTTTAGGCTAAAATTAGCTTAGAGGCAGATGTCTGGTTCCTATAGCCAACACAACCTACTGTACACATAATGACTTTGTTTACATCTTAAACCCCTTTTTATGCAGAAATGATAAACAATCTGTAATTCCCCATTAAGAGTTTAAAGGAATAGTTTGCCAAAGAATCAGATTTACACAGTTTTATTCCTACCCCAAATGTAGTCGGTCAGCCTGAAGTTTGCTTGAGGCTTATAGGTAACAGTTGTACACATTGTTACACTGCACACCTAAATCATCATACGCCTGCCTTAAACCGTTTTAAAAATGATGCATTCTTAAATAGAGCTTATGAAAATTCAGGCTTCACAGTGACTGTTATTGTTTTTCAGCTGTGCAACACAGTTTTGTCCACTTCTGTAGATAAAAGTGTGTTAAGGAATCACATAGGCAAGTCTGTAAGAGATCAACAACACTGAGGCAGGTGTCTGATGGTTTAGGCGTGCAGTTTATACAAGGGTTTTTATTGAGTTATAAGCTTCCAATACTTGTTAGCTACATTAGCCCTGTATCTTCTTCAGCACAAAGCTGAAAAAGCAAACTTCAGACAAGAAAAGTGTCTTTGCTGATTGGCTACATTTGAGGGCATACATTTTATTTATAAAAACTATACCTTTAAAGTTCATGGTGTTCTGACACACCTAATTCAAGTCATGAAGGACCCGATGAGTTGAATGATGTGTGTTAAATCAACACTCTTATCTAACCTCAGTTAATTATAGTATATTTGAATGCTGAGTTCACCGCGACCCAGAAGGATAAGCGGTTTGGATGATGGATGGATGGATGAATGCTGAGTAGAATCCGGTGTGAAATGCTTCAGGAAACACAAATGCTCTTTTATTTCTTTTTCGTAAGGTTACTGTGCTGCAGTCATTAAGTGATCCATCGAAGACAGTGTGTGTTGGGAATACGCATCTCTACTGGCACCCTAAAGGTAATGAACTTTGTTTCAGTGGTCATTAGTTAGTTGTAAGTAGGGCATAATTGCTAGGTGCAGTGGGGGCCGTCGCACTGAGGCCCAATGGCAAAGGAATACATCAAATTATCAATTTGAATTGTACTTCATCAGAATATCTCTGCTGCACAGTAAGGGCTCTCTGGAATCCATATACCCTTATTTGTCCGGTGGCATGACGGGCAGCTAATATAAATACAACGATCAGTGTGTCCACTAACTGTCCACTCTCCTACCTTGTCAGTCCACCTTGTAGATGTAAAGGCAGAGACGACAGCTCGTCTGCTGCTGCACAGTTTCCTCTAGTCCTTCATCTGTGGTCACAGGACGCTGCCCACAGGACGCTGTTGGTTGGAAATTTTTGGTTGGTGGACTATTCTCAGTCCAGCAGTGACACTGAGATGTTTAAAAACTCCAGCAGCACTTCTGTGTCTGATCCACTCAGACCAGCGCAACACACACTGACACACCACCACCACGTCAGTGTTACTGCAGTGCTGAGAGTGATCCACCACCCAAATAGTACCTGCTGTGTGAGGGTCCATGGGGGTCCTGACCACTGAAGAACAGGGTAAAAGGGGGCTAACAAAGTATGCAGAGAAACAGATGGACTACAGTCTGTAATTGTAGAACTACAAAGTGCTCCTATATAGTAAGCGGAGCTGATAAAATGGACAATGAGTGTAGAAACAAGGAGGGGGTCATAATGTTATGCCTGATCGGTGTATGATGGATAATTACTGTTATTCAAATAGGTAGACTAACAAATGTTTAGGTTAATGTTGGATTCTGGTGGGAATACGTTGAGGGCATCAGTGTTTGAGACAAAATACAAGTAAACAGGTAAATTATGCTGTCATTTTTGTACATATTAAAGGTAAATTTTGTATGGTGGGGCTCATAAGATCCCTAAGATCCCCATATTTAACCACACAACGATTTGATTCAATGACAGGACTTAAGACACGATTTCGTCTATAATGAAATCTCACATTCCTCCTGTATTTGATCATTTTGCTGTGATTCATGCTTATTTTTAAAAATACATTAAATACACTAATGTGACTGGAGAATCTGTTTACACAGTAATGCCATATAGACAGTAAAACAATACAGCAATGTTTTGGGCGAACAAGTACACTTAGCTGAATAATATAATAATTATTACATTTTAAATTGCAGTAAATTTGAACACCCCTAGTAATTAAGATGTCCAGAGGATACACTGTTTACAAGCTCTTCTCTTTTTTTGTCTTAAGGTGGAAATGTCAGGTTAATACAGATGGCTGTGGCCCTTAAGCACCTGAAGCAAGTCTCAGAAGAACACCCTGGGACACTGCTGTTCTGTGGTGACTTCAACAGCACGCCCTCTTCAGGACTTTTCCAACTACTCAGTCAAGGTTCCTTACCAGAGGACCACAGTGACTGGGCATCTAATGGGCCTGAAGAGCTCATCCAGATGGAGCTTCTCAGCCCCTTTCAGTTGACTAGTGCATGTGGCGAACCAGCCTACACTAACTACGTTGGAGGCTTTCATGGCTGTCTGGACTACATTTTCATGGAGCCTGAGGCTTTGCAGGTGGAGCAGGTTATTCCCCTGCCTAGCCATCAAGAGGTCACCACCTACCAGGCACTACCAAGCGTCTCTCACCCATCTGACCACATAGCTTTAGTCTGTGACCTCAATTGGAAATGAGGTTGCATTGCAATCTTGGCTTTGGTTTTGCTGATGAAGATATGTAGGTCGAGCTTTGATGTGGAGCTCACATTTTCAACAGTAACGTGTTCACTTTAGATGTGACGAATGATGAAGTGGCTGCTTGGGTAATTGTGTTAGTTGGGGGTTACGTAGGCACTGATTTGTACTAACGACATATCAGTAGTTTAAATTCTCAATACATCTGCTATTGCCAGTGCATAAATTGAATCAACATTAATTCAGATCCTGAATGCTCTGAAATCTTATACTGACAGCGTGCCACTCAATCAGCAATGCAGTCACTAAAACTGGCATATCTTCATTAAACAGTATTTAAACGTTTAGTTTTTGCATTTCATGTTTGCACTACAACAATGGTCACCAACCGTGGTCCTGGAGATCTCCCTTCCTGCAGAGTCTAGTCCCAGCCCCAATCTGCCACACCTGCTCCAGCAAATTAACTTCTTCAGAAGTCTTTGATTGGCTGGATCAGATGCATTACTGGTAGGTGGGAAGGTGCAGCATGTTAGACACAGGTTGGAACTAAACTCTCCAGGAGGAGGGTTGGTGACCACTGCACTAAAGCCTCTGCTCATGAAGAATATTACTTCAGAATGAGGGGTGGTTCTTGTTTGTTTTGATAAAGGCAAAAATATCAAACTTTTGGTCTCAATCATTACTTGTTCAAAGACGTTCCAAAATATAAAGCAAAATACAACACATCACAATAGTAACATTTTTTATTTCAATTTTTATTAGAAATTATACATGGGCTGATGAAAAGCAAATGTTCATATGTAGGATTGCAAATGCCTGCTCAGACTGACCGCTTAGGTATCAAGGTGCTGTTGTCAGCATCCAATAACATTGGAATTGGGCCGACTTCAAATAAGGTACATTTTACTACGAATTAAAACCCATAACTGACTTACATTCGCGCAGCAGGAAAAAGCATACTTTAAGGCAATTGTTGTAAATACAGATAAAGGCTGTTTATTTACAAAGATGGGCAAACTTGGTCAAGTAAAAAGAATGATTCACCAAAAAACATCACCCTTTATACATACAGTCAGCTAAGACATGTTTGGTGCCAGAGTTTGCTTTATTAGATTTGCACTGTAACTATGAGGCTAACATTGCTAAAAAAGTAATGGAAGTCTATGTAAACTCATACTGTGTTAGCTCCACTGTAAAATGGAATAAACTTTAAACACCAAACATGTATTGGTTGATTGACTAAATGTAGGCTAAGGGAGAAATTGTGTTGATTTAATTTTTCAGTGAACTATTTCTTTTAAAAATGCTAGTAAGCTGCATTAAGGCTCAGTTAAGACAGGCTATCAATTCTTACTATTCGCCAATCTGATCTGTTCTGAAAATCCAACTAGAGCCTTTCCCAATGCCACTGTAATACATCAAATTACCTTTCAATTTTGCTACAAAGACTCGCTCTACCATCTGTGATCATTACACAACAGTGGTTTTAAAGAACCCAGGGACAGTGTGGCTAGGACCACAATAGCACACATCTGTTCAGGTTAAAATCAAATGTCATCTGAGCAATCCTGCTGTCTGTCTAAGCTGAGCCGAAAAAGTTTTATGCTCCCAAAACCGTAACGCCTACTGTGCTACAAGACTGTGTCTAAATTCCTTTAACGGAAATGGTCCAGATTAAAAGCCATGCAAATGTAATATTAAGACTACATAAAATAATAAACTGAGTAACAAAGCCAGGGCAGAAGTGTGTTTGTTTAAATATAAATATGATCCCATCTTTGACAAAATGCAAGAACCTAACAAGCTGAGAACCCATCACTTTGTGTGTACCTCTGCCCTTTAGCTGTTGCCTCCTTACGATGAGCTAACTTACAAGCTTTCGAATCGTTAGTCCAGATTAAACTACAACAGGCACACAGTTACATACGCCTGGTAGAAATGATCGAGGAAGTTCAAGTTCGGTCAACCCAATGCAGAAAAGCACTGTCAAAATTGCCTCAGTGGTGAATTTGGTAACCAGGTATACTCCAATATGTCCCATGTGTCTGTCAGTTCTGTTGGTCATGTCCTTGATTAAAATACACCTCTTGGTCATCCAATCGTTGCTGTTTAGCGTTTGGACAGCTGCTCAGAAAGCCAATCCAATCCTTCATACAAACCTGTTCCCTGAGTGGCGCAGGTTGCTTGAACGTACCACTGTTGAAGCAAAACAGAGAAATTCAACATTATGATTAAGTATATTCCAGAACGTTTAATTATTTGTCCAGACGACATATGGACTATGTTTCATACAGGGAAGACTCCATACTTAAATGTGGATCCATAACCTTTAATCTGTAGTTTAATTAAAGCTTTAGTGGTTCTGACATTTAAAACTAAGCTACAAAATAAAAATACAATGCAGTAGGTAAAACTAAAAGGCTTCTAAATACAAAACAAATAATAATAATAATACATTCTTGAAGATTTCCTACACATAAAGACGGTTCTTCTAGGGTTCCTCAGTAAAGAAATGGTTCCATAAAGAACCATGAACACGCAAAGAACCCTTTAGATTAGAGAATGTGCTTTATATGGTTCTATGTAAAAGCTTTTTGAAAAGGGTTCTGTAGCACTTAAAAGGGTTCTTCTATTGTTACAAGCTTGACACTGCTAACAATAGAAGAACCCTTTTGGGTGCTATATAAAACCATATAAAACACATTCTCTATCTGAAGAACCATTTCACAATGCAAAGAACCGTTTTTTTGTGTTCATGGTTCTATAAAGAACCCTAGAACCATCTTTATTAACCCTTGAACCATCTTTATTAAGCGTGTAGGCATACTTACAGTTCTGCTCCTAAGTGCCTGCAGACCAAGTTTGTCTGTCATCTCACTGATGGGCATGGCATTGGGCAGGTCTTGTTTGTTTGCAAATACGAGTAGAACCGCATCTCTGAGCTCGTCCTCCTGAAGCTGTTCAAAGACATAAAAATGAAATGAGATATTCAACAAACACCTTTGAAAAATTGTTTCATATGGAACAACTTTCATATTTAGGGAGTCCTTTATACGTTGTTCAAATCCATTTCATATTTTCAGGTTTTGAGGAACAGTGACATGAACTTTTCATGGAAAATAATGCACTCTCCTGCAGAGTTATAGCCCCCGTTCGTCAACTCACTAGAGGTTTCTTACGTACAAGTTACAGTTGTGGCATAATTTTTTGTTTTTCCACTTTTTATGATGTGATCACAACGTCCAAATATACCCAAACACCCTTCTAATTAGTGAATTAAGCTACCTTCTGGTGCACCCACTGCTGACACGGGCACAGTGTGCACATACATCTTATATACTCTCCACTGAAATGCAGTGCCAGTAGAATGGCACGCTCTGGAGCAGTCACACATGAGCGTAAGGTCACCATGTTCAATGCCAAGCATATTGACTAAAGTGGTATAAAGCCCCCCAGCACTGGGCTGTGGAGGAGCAGAACTGGGATCTCTGGAGCAAATCAGCAAGACCCAAAACATCTGGGATGAGCTGGAATGAAGTTTGTGATCCAGAATTAATCATCCAACATCAGTACCTGACCTCATTAAACCTCTTGTAGCTGAATGCAATCAAACCCTCACAGCAATGTTGGAACATTTAGTGCAAAGCCTTTAGAGAAGAGGCAGCAAAGGTAAACAAAATCCCCATTAATACTTGACTTCAAAAGAAACGTTGGATTAGAAGGTGTCTACAAACCTTTGGACATATCAGGTCAGTTTCCTAGATAGAGATTAAGCCTAGTCTTGGACTACAAGGCATTCTGCATAGAGATTTTCCATTGATAGGAAAATGTAGTCCAGTATATTATATTATTTCTATCTAGGAAATCAATAGTGTATCCAGGAATTAAAATCTGACGTCACAGGAGATGCATACACTTGGTAGATGATACATTAAGAGTGTCATATTTTGCTGTGTAAAATGTAAATATAAGCCGTCGTCTGCTTGGATGCATTTTAGTATTCCATTAAACTACTTTCTAATACTACCATAATACTACCACTTGTTTGTTGTCTCTACCTAGTAATAAATACAGAGGCCTCAGCAGCCTCTCTTTTACATTCTAGCACGTAACGGAAAGTTATTATACATGTGGTGGGTAAAGAAACAGTGATGCCCAACAACAAAGTGATGTGTGGGCATGTCTCACTAACCATCTTCTGCAGCTCCTCAGCAGCTTCCTGTGCACGCTCGCGATCGTTGCTGTCTACAACAAAGATGAGACCCTGCAACAGCCACACATACAATGGTGAGTGCCAAACCACAAGCAAGAAAATGTACGTGTGGCACGAAACCTCCACTGTTACACATGAAAGGTCCACTGTAAAATAATAAATAACTTCAATAAATAACAAAAATAATAATAATAACAAAAATAATCTAATATTCTTTAACAGCCCACACTGCACAAGACTTTTCAGCACATTACATTAAAGCATTACAATGGATGAAAATGTTAAGAATGTGAAAACACAACGTTGGTTCTTTTACGGTGTCACAAACAGGGTTGAATTGCCCAGGCGCTGTTTCAAGGTTGCACCAGCTATATGTTAAGCTAATAAAAATAAGCTAGTCATAATGTAAGTGTTTACATTACAGTTTAGATTTATGCATCACAAGTAGATCTTAGTAGTTACTACCTGCCGGTGTAGGTGCTGATGAAACCAGCATAAACCACACCGAGCACAAAGGCAAAAATATGACCCGACTAGAAAACAGGAAAACAGCCCTGAATGCTGCATACTTTGGTTTAACTTTCAGTTCAAAACATGAAGTTCAGTGAGACGGCTACACCCAGCTTTCACATGGTAGACACTGAAACTTTCATACTGATGCTGCCTTTGTGTTGGTTAGTCAGGAACCATTGTATAAAACCCATACAGACTTACTGAAGCTTTTATGTGCAAATTTAATCACAAACTTAGTACAACAGGAGCAGTCCAGGCCAGTTAAGTCAAGAGTGCTGAGTGTAATTTACTATTTCAGTCTCACCCTCTCATCCTGGCCTAAATACCCACATGCTGACATACTGATAAGGGCCAGACAGTGCCCTGGCACAGATACCATCTTTAAAACCTTATCTATACTATAATTCTTATGCATCATTTCCCTAACATTCTGCGTAGCCAAAGCGGCATGAATCTCTAAGTCAGTTCCTGACGGTTTCCCCCCCCAACATCCTAATACATGGCGTCAAAGATAAGAAGCACATTATAGTAGCACCCAGAGCTGTCCTCCTATATCACAATCATAAAGTGCACAGTATGTGGGCATCTGGCCAAAACAACATACATTTGGCTGCCTCCCACAGCTGTTTTTGCAGCATGTTAGCAAAGGCTCGGTGACCAAACTGAATCAGAGATGGAAGAATGGGTAGATACGCGGACAGCAGGGGCAGACAGAGAGGGTTTTCAGCATTTAGTTCTACTTTTACTAAAGTTACACCAACTGTACACTATTTTTGAATGTTACCTAGATAGAAACCTTATTTCCAGAGACTATCTACTTTTTATTTATTTACAACCCCTCTTTAAAACAACTGTAAGCCCCTAGTAAATGCAATACTTTGTAGTCAGCTGTCCTGGGAATAATGAGTAAAGTCCACTAACCAAATTTAAAAACTAAAAACAAACCTCTTGGAACTAGAAACAATGCTATTTTATGGATATTATTTGACTAATATAATTATTATGCATCAAATTATGTTGCTAATTACATTGCAAAAGCAGTATCACAAAATACTAATATAGGCTACTTTAGCTATTCTACTGTACCACGGTAAATAATTACCTGCGTATTCTGGAAGTAGTGCCTCCAAAGAGGCCTGATCTTATCCTGGCCACCCACGTCCCAAACGGTGAAGCAAATGTTCTTGTACTCGACAGTCTCAACGTTGAAGCCTGCAGAACACACATAAGCACGCATTCGATATGTTTTACAAGGATCCTCCAAACTGTAAAGTAACCCATTTAACACCAATCAGGATGGGCCGCTGCTGAAACTGCATCACAGCCAGCTCAGGATTAGCTCTGTGTTTGCTGACGGAGAACATGGTAAACATATACACTGTATGTTTTAGCAGAGGCATCGGTGTGGCAGTACTACTAACTGGTCTGCATGCTTTGCTGATTCCTGATTGAGTGTTTAAAAGCTGGTTTTATACATGATATAATAGATTTATCATTAACCTTCTCTAAAGTCTGTTGTACTCACAACTATACTTAGTCATTTAGAGCTGCAAATGAGTATAATCAAGGGCATTAGGTAGGTAAATACAGGCACAGTCTATACAAACCTATGGTTGGAATTGTTGTGACTATTTCTCCAAGTTTAAGTTTGTACAAGATTGTAGTTTTCCCAGCAGCATCAAGACCAACTGCAAGAAAAGAGAAAGACAATATGTTACCCTACAGCAAAGAATATCGTCTTAGACACAAAAGGAAAACACTCAAAATCTGAAGATGTCTAAAGAGTCTGATGCCTCTGAAAGCTCCCTCACAGAAATGCATGCATGTGTGGGTGTAATATATATATATATATACGCATAAATATATATATACGCATAAATATATACACACGCACACATGGCATGCATGCATTTCTGTGAGGGAGCAATGATGAAGGGATGAAATGGTTAGATATATATGCTCTCTGATGTTTTATGGCAGTTTTGTGGTCAATTTGGCCTAAAACGTGGACAGATACATGCAGGGTGTTGTAAGGCAAAATAATCCCCAAAGAAAACTTTTTTTTTCCAGATTTATGACTATTTTTCACTTTCACTACTACATATAAAAAAACTCACAAGACGCCTGTAGGTTCACTGGTGGTTTTGTATAGTAAATAAAATGACTATATATTTGTGTTGAACCACTTCACATCAAACCACTCTGCTTACATCTCAAGCACTGAATTATTCAGAAATTTTGGAAAAATGGTGGAATTCCCCTTTAAGTTTACCTGGCAATGAACGTCATGACATAATACTGAAAACAGCTCACTGGATATCTTAGTGAGTAAATATCCTAACAAAAAGCATATCCATGAAACTGTTATTGTAAGACAGTTAACTTTATTCAGCTAAAGACTCGGTGAAAACGGTAACACTAGCTAGCTCGCTAGTCGGCTAACTACCTGCAAGAAACTTGCTTCCAAACGCTGAGCTGAGTTTCCAACTCACCCATAAGAATTCTCATCTGCTTCTTGCCGAAAAGACGAGAAAAGACGCTTGAAATGGTCAGCCCCATTTTATCTCACGGCCAACGTGGCAAAGCAGTTGAACCAGCTGAAGTTACTAAGCTAAGTGTAGGAGAGAGTCGCGTTTCTCAGCAGGGTCGTTAGGCGGCTAACAGGCTAGCTCAGCTGGGTCGTTAGCGAAAACACCATCAGCGACCGGAGAAGCTGTTTAGCTGAACCGGGAGAGCGGAGAGGAGAACTGCGCGGTTCTCTGCATTCACACTGGAAGGCTAGACGCTTTTCTTCTTTGCGGAGAAATAAACGCTGATCCAGAGCAGTCCGAGCAGCGGCGGCGGCGGCAGCAGCAGCTTTGTTTCTCCGTTTCTTCTCCACGTCACACATTTACTTTGCAGCCCGGGTGACGTCACCAGTGCCACATCACAAGAAAGCACCGAGCGCGTTTGTGCTGAAGGCAGTTTTGAGAGCATCCTGTTCAGCAGGGACGGAGATGGGCGCAATGCGTTAAAGTCAACCTGAAATCAAAACTGACCCTTGTTAGTTCATGCCCCTGGTAATATTAAAAGGGAATTTCTCCGAATTTTCGAAATTCTGTGTAATTCACTCACTGAGATGTAAACAAAGTCATTCCTAGTGGTTTGGCATGGAATGGTTCACTATAGAGAAACTTGTCAGTTTAGATTTCTTTACAGTGGTGGTGATAGGATCCAGGGGTCACAATGTATACAGGTGTACCTACACGTGTTCTTATTTTATATATATGTTGTTGATAATGGTAAAATAGTACGGAGCCCTGATGATGACATCCTGTATAAATAAAAAATAATACGTGGCCACGAGATCCTAATGCGTGGCCATGACTTAGTAAGGCGTGGGAACGAGATCACAGCTTACTAAGTCAATGCCACGCATTAGGATCTCATTCCCACGCTCTAAGTCTTCATCAGGAGCTACTTTGCCTTACAAAGCCCTGTATGTGTCCCTCTGATGTAAATAGGTTTGAAAGAGAAACCTTATTGCTAACCTTTTGCAGCACATTCATAACTGTATAATGGCATAACTTTCTGTGAGGGAGCTTCTAGAAGCATTAGACTCTGGTTCCTATCACCACCACTGTGAACAATTCTGACTCAGGAAGTTTCTCTGAATGACTATTTACATTTTAACCACATAATTATACAGAGATTTTGAAAAAATAGGTGGAATTCCCCTTTAAGTGTGACTCATCATACTGTAGCGTGTTCAGTAAATGTTTCTGAAATGTTAGTTTAGGTTATGGGTTTCTCATCATTTATTTACAGCTTATTCTGATAAAGACTCTTATTATGGAGGCGGGGCTATTTTTTCCCAAGGCGATTTGAGCTACAGCCGTAAGACCTGAGAGACCTGACAGCTGAGAGAATAAAGTGTAAATAAGCTTAAGCATAGAGCAAGCTGTCAGAGAAAACTCTGTACATGTGCGGCGTAGCTGTGGCCATCAACAGCTGGTTAATAAAGCACCATGACTTGTACAAAACCTGTGTCTGTTTTAGTAGCGACGGGTGCTACAAAATTGTACCATTTAAAAGACAAAATTCTTGTTTTCTCTTAATCCTTGTGTGGTGTTCGTTTTCAATGTTTGCCAAAAGAAAAAAAATGATGCGATTTATTATTATTTCAACCCCAGATTCTTGGCCTTTGCTCATTTTCTGTAAAGAACATATACAATAACCCATTTTCAGTGCCTTCACTCTGTTCACCCCCCACACATTTATATTACACATGTGGTGTTGGGTGAACCTGCGGGGAGTAAAAGTGTGGAGGTGCTGTGTCCTTTACTCTGTTCTCCTCCCACATGACCTGCTGTTAGTGTGTGTGTGTGTGTGTGTGTGTGCGGGTGAACAACATGGACAGGCTGCTGACTGGCTACAGCTGCTAAAGGAGAACCCTACGCTGGCCACTCGTGATATTCTTAACATCAGATATTCGTACATAAATTGTTTTGGCTGTACTGATTAAAAAAAACAATAATGTGGTGGGTCCACCAGACCACTGAGTAACAAACACATCAACACCACACAAGGGTTAATGTATGATCAGACTTGGCCCACCTCTCAAAAAAGACAATGATCAATTGTTTTCTCCACCATGCCGTCTCCAGTAACTCTTTAAACTGTACTAGTAACTAATAACTAATCCAAACAGACTCATTAAAGGTGCCCAAAAGAGTTCCTTGGAGTGATGCCATACAAGAACCGCTTTTGGTTCCATAAAGAATTTTTTTCCATAAAGAGATTGTCCTCAAGAGAGCCATTTTAGTAAAAGTGATGCATGAGCATGAAAAACCTTTTTTAATGTAAAGGACCTTTACCAGTTAAAGGTTTAATGCTAATGTCTAATGATAATATCTACAATGGACTGTCCAAGTATTTGAGCCCGCATGGAACAGGCCCCACTGGCCTGGTCAGTAATCCATCCCTGATCAAAGCTGCTCCTGAATTTACTTAATAAGACAAGTTTGTTCATGTCATTCAGATAAAGGGCATCGAAAAGGAAAGACAACAATATAAGTACTTTGACCACAGTGATGATAAAAAATACATTAATTTAATAAAAATCCAAAATATAAATCTTACAGGCACAAGTTTTATAACATTTCAACAGTCTTTGGCCAAAGAAAATGACAAACAATATAAGAATAATGAAAAACCCAACATAAATACATCACATTTATGATAATAAAATAACAGACTCAAAGGAGGGGGGCGTTGTGGAGATGACAATATACATACATACATACATACATCATCTAAACCGCTTATCCTTCTGGGTCGCGGTGGGGTGCTGGAGCCTATCCCAGCTGGATGACAATATAGTGATTCAAATTATATACAGTATGAACAAATGAATTTCTAAACAGATGTAAAAGTGCTGTAATTTTATCGTTTGGAGATCTGATCACACAGCCAGTCCAGTCCTTCATATAAACCTGCCCCACTTACTGCACAAGTTGACTGAACGTACCACTGAAGAGAGAGAAAAGAGACAATCATCAAGTCATATTAGCTCAAAGGCTTTTGAATTAACTTGTATCTTAGTCACTATATATTTTATATCAACTTTAGAACTGCAGTAGGAACAGAGTCCTCACAGTTCTTTCAGTCATTGTCCGTAACCCCAGCCTCTCGGTCATCTCGTCGATTGGCATGGCTTTGGGTAAATCCTGTTTGTTAGCAAGAACCAGCACGACAGCGTCCTTCAGCTCATCTTCCTGAAGCTAAAGACGAAGAAAAAGGTGCCTCATGTATGTATACCATAAAGACAAAACTGAAAGCAAAAATAACAGCATAGAAAATGTATGGAGCATTTTAAAGAATTAGTTCAAATTGCAGTCCCACATATTTACAATTATGTTACGATCATGTTATGAATTATTTAAACCCAAGGCAATATTTTGAGATAGTAATAAGCAAAATACATACAAAATCATCATTTCTAGATTGCTTTCTATTGGGAGCTGTTTTCAACTTGTTAAACTATTTTTTTAATGTTTTTTTTAGATCACATCACTTATTTAAAAGTGAAGTTAAAAGATTTAGATTTATCTTTTTTCCTGTAAAAATATTATTTATAAACAAATGCTGTTCCACATTTCATGTCACTACCAAAACAAAGAGTTTTAGTGTGTGGGAGAAGCCTTATATTAGCCACGCCTGTGAATTTTAGAGCAGGAAGTGAAACTGTATCCCTGTCCCTCATGGCCACACGGTGAGCAGTAAGATCCCATTGTTTTGAAGTAAACATGTCGCAAAGTCTGAAGATCAGTGTGAAACATTGAATTGTCACTACCGACACACAGATATTCTGTAGTTAAGTAAAGTTTTTTGTGTTTTAATAAAAATATTGTGATTTTATGTGTGTACAACTGTGTAAAGCTGTGTTTGCCAGTCATGTACTGGCGAGTGTTTCTGAGCTCAAAATTAAAGTTTTGGTGGTGTCATATTTGTTTTGATTCATTGTTTCTATTTAGTAATAAAGGTTCTGTGCAGGTACATTTTTTACATTCATCAAGGTACAAACAGGGTAAATGTTCTCTCAAAGGTACAACGGTGGTTTTAAGGTCCAATTGTGAACCTTAAATAACTTTTCCATGTGAAAAGTTCGTATTTGTACCTTTTCATAACCAAATGTTTTAAAACAGAACGGTAAAATAAAAGGCCTGGACGCGAGACGGGGTGTGTGGCGTCAATACAACTTAGAAAATATCATTTCAATGAATTATAGTACAATTATGTTCCTTGACTAAAGGCACTCAGATGGACCTTTGAGGGTCCCACCCCAGTGACAGTTTACTGCCTTTATTTCTGAGAGTGTACAACGCCCTGCTTGTACCTCTCCACTATGAACTGATGTTAAACTATGTAAGATGAGTATTTGGAGACCTCTCTGGTGGAAATGTGTAATTGCATGCAATGTAGGGAAGAACATTTTGCATCATTGGTTGTGCTTCGGCCCCCTTCCCTGATTGCCAGCGTGCTTAAAGAGCACTGAAAGAGAACTTAGTCTTGATGAAGGGCGTGTCTTCCAAGGAATTATCTACTATTGTCATTGTATCTTCCTCAGTATAATGTCGATTTTGCATTTTAGACCTAAACATTGAGCCAAACCTTCTTTCTGAGCCTGTGCATATGACGAGTTCCATGCCTGCAAAATCTGATTCAATGCCATTATTATTTCAGGCTTTACTTGCAGCAGCGCAAGCACATCATATTTTAGTGTATTTTTTCCTCCTGACTCTGTAATCTTACATAATGACACTTTAAATAATGTGTTTTAGGCCAAAATCTTTCCTCAAAACTATTATAAAACAATGTCTCATATATCTGACAACACAATTGTGACAACTTCATGTAACAGTTATTTAGAGCCATTAAACTCTTCAGACGTCTGGTTCCTATCACCACCACTGTAAATATTTTGTAAGTTTCTCTAGAAAATTCTAACAATTTAATTATGCAGAATTTTTAAAAACATAAAACTCCTCTTCAACACATCAACACTTTGCAATGTGTATTATTAATATGGCAAGGCTCACTGCAGTCATGCTACATATGATACATTGTCCATACTGAGCAACCCTGACACCTACTAGTGTCTGCAGCTCAGACGAGGCTTCCTCAATCCGCTCTCGATCACTGCTGTCCACCACAAAAATGAGGCCCTGCAATAACACAGAGCATATGACAAGGTTCAAATTTGATAATAGCCCAATTTACCCTCCAATGAAGCTATTTTTAATCTTCATTCAAATATGAAAACAACCTTGGTATTCTGATAGTAGTGCTTCCACAGCCGTCTGATCTGACCCTGTCCACCCACGTCCCACACGGTGAAAGAGATGTTGTTGTACTCAACCGACTCAACGTTAAAGCCTGTGTATCACAGAGAAACATTGGACTTGAATATGAGTAACTTATTAAGCACATAATCAAGCAAACAGACAAATAACCCAGGTAACAAAACCGCTACAAACAGGAAGAGTGGTGGAGAAAATCTTACCTCAGAGAGAACTTTAACAGTACCAAATAAAGAAAGATAACAAAACAAAGCTATTTTAAGATGTACTTTAATGTGTCTAACCTGACAACCAAACAGAGCATAAAACAAATTAACATCACTGAGCTAAACTACCTCAAAATACAGAGAGTGGTAAACTAGGGAATGCAGGTTTGCACACAGTCTAACCTGCTGACACTGCAACAGCACTAGAATAATAAAGAAAGAAAGAAAGAAAGAAAGAAAGAGGGAAAAAGATAAAAGTAAAAAAGATAAAAGAAAGAAAGAAAGAAAGAAAGAAAGAAAGAAAGAAAGAAAGAAAGAAAGGAAGAAAGAAAAACAAAAAGAAAGAAGGAAAAAAGATAAAAGGATAAAAGGAAAAAGATAAAAGGAAAAAAGAAAGAAAGAATAGAAAAGAAAGAGAGTGGGGAGACAGACAGAGAGAATGAGAGAGACAGAAAAGAGGGAGAGAGAGGGAGAGAGAGAGAGAAAGAGAGAGAGAGAAAGAAAGAAAGAGAGAGAGAGAGAGAGAGAGAGAGAGAGAGAGAAAGAGAGAGAGAGAGAAAAAGAGGGAGAGGGAAAAGACAGAGAGAGAGAGAGAGAGAGAGAGGGGGGAGAGAGAGAAAGAGAGAGAGAGAGAGAAAAAGAGGGAGAGGGAAAAGACAGAGAGAGAGAGAGAGAGAGAGAGGGAGAGAGAGAACATTAGGTCAACATTAGGTTGGAATACATTAGGTAGGATCTTACCAAGAGTTGGGATGGTTGTGACGACTTCCCCCAGTTTGAGTTTGTAGAGGATGGTGGTCTTTCCTGCTGCATCCAGACCAACTGTGAGGAGAAAGATTTGACATCATTTCTGTTTAGATTTGTCTTCCTGCATTCCTCATATTTATCTGTACTATAAGACATACACGTCCATTTCCAGAAGCTTGGAACTACTTTTCATATTAATAATTGATGTTTAATAATAATAATAACATGCTTAATGACACATATCTTTCTTAATTATTGTGAAATCTTCTACAGCTCCTTAATCAAGAAACATTTCTGAATTTTTACAATGATTTTAGGCACACAGCTGCAACAAAACTGGTTTTATATTATTGGAAACAGTGAGTTGCAGCTCACATATCATCATTTATATGCATTAGAGCTGTAAATGTAGCTTAAAGAAGGCTGTAAAGCAGAGTTTCAAAGTGAAGTCCACAGAAATCCCTACATTTCAGGCTGCATGGGCTTAGAATGACAGACAGCAGTGGATTAGATCAGTAAAATAAACTCACCAATCAAAAGTCTGATTTGCTTTTGCTGTGAGAGGCGAGTGAAGACGTTAGAGATGATCAAGCCCATGTTTAAAGCTGTGTCAGACAGAACGGACTGAACCGGACACAGAACAGTCCTCTCTATTTGCTCTCGGGCTCCCATCCCGCGGCTTTATACAGGCAGCGCTGCGTACGTCACGTCCGCTCTGTGCCGGTGGACACGCGCTCCTGCGGGCTGCAGGAAAAAGTTTCGTTCTAAAATCCAACGCGCTCGAAATGACGTCACGGGAGAAGCGCGCGGCAGATTTGAATTACAACAATAATAATAATAACAGCAACAACCGAGTTAGAGTAATAACAATGAGAACAACTGAAAAAATCTGTTTAACCAACCTGTTCACATCATAACTGGATCTCTGAGCCATTATTTTAAGCGCACTACATAGGGAAGAGGGAGCCACCTGAAACTGTAGCTCAGTCAAACTCACATCATACAAAAGGCAAATATACTTTAAACCTTTAAACACTATGTCTCATAATAATAATAATAATAATAATAATAATAATAATAAGAAGAAGAAGAACAACAACAACAACAACAAAACAACAACAACAATAATAATAATAATAATATAAATAATAATGATAATGATAATAATAAGAAGAAGAAGAAGAGGAAGAAGAAGAACAACAACAACAATAATAATAATAATAATAATAGTTATTATTATTATTATTATTATTATTATTATTATTATTATTATTTCTATACTGCTATACTAGACTACTAACTTTGTTGTAATAGTTATGCCTTTGGTCCCTATAGGCCATTATTTCTGTTAACTTTAAATGATTAGATTTTATCAGATTATCAGATTAGAGTTTGTTAGTTTATTAGATTAGATTTGCACACGTATTACTTTATTACTGTGCAGTATGAATGTCCTTGATCTCTCATTCTATTGGCTATAAGCTTTAAACCTTAGGCTACGATGCTATAATAAACACTTGGTTGTTGTTGGTGGTTATTAATTTGTTATTATTTGTTTGTATATGAGTTTGAAATTACTGTTAGTGTTGTGTTGTTGTTGTTGTTATTATTGACAAAACGTATATTATAGTGATATATAATATTATATTACATGTTATATATTATAATGTTGTGATCATTGCTGAGGTAACCTGTTTTTGTCAACATTGTCATTGTTTATCAGTAGTATTATTGTTATAACGTTGTTATTGTCGAGGTTGTTGTGTGTTAATATTGTTGTAATTACTGGTTTTGTAACTTCAACATTTCTGAGCCACGTCACTCCTCGCACGCTGGAGTTGATAGTGGAACTTCTTCCAGCCGGGCAGCGAGCGCGTGTACTAACCTGAACAAAGCGGTAGTGACGTCCCCGCTGCCTTTATAAGAGCAGCCGAGCGGCGGACTGGGCAGAAGAGCGCGAGCCGCTGAGAATAAAAGTCCTGCGGAGCAGCGAGAGAACAGAGTTCATCACCTCTCAGCTCCAGTCTCTCAGTATGGGGAACATCATCGCCTACATCCTTTCTCGGCTCACTGAGAAGAAGCAGATGAGAATATTGATGGGTGAGTGAATCTGCTCAGATCAGCTTTGGTTGGTATAAAACAACATTAAACAGTATATTCATGTTTTTTCTTTGATCATTTTGGAAAAGATATTTAGCAGGTAGGTTTGAAATATAACAAATATAGTAGAACAAATATAAGACAGCGATGCTTTCAACCATAATGTGGAATTAATTAGCAATTTACTGTAAATATTTACATTCATTTCTTTGTCAGTTTATCTGCTTTAAGATTTTTTAAGAACTCCACTATTAACCCTCTACTGCACGATGTTGCCTCAGGGCAACAAACTCATTTTCCTCACTTTACAATAACATTATACATATTTAAAGACAATATTAGGGTTAACAATAAAGGGAAGAGTCTAAGTAAGTCAATAAAAAGCATGTGCTTGGTCATACTCTCTCTTAGTGGGCGCTTTCAAACCTCTTTTTAAACATTGAGTATCAATTTTTTTGTTATGAGATTTTGCAGAAATATGTTTGTTGCCTAGAAGCAAAATTGGGCAACAGTGGAATGGATTTAGCCAATCACAAGCCAGGTCTAACCTTTTCAGGAAACACAGCTCATGTCATTTCTTCCCATTGTTGCACAATGTTGCCTTAAGACAACATACTCCAAAAGGACCCCTGCACACATTAGTATTATTATTTTTATGGTTGTTCTCTAAAGATAAAGAACCTGCTGTAAATCGCTTTTTGAAGAACCCTTAAAAAATACATTTATAGCATCAAAAAGGGTTCCACTGTCCCGCTGTGCAAGTCAAAGAATTTGTAATCTAAGAGTGAACTTATTTGAAACCTGCAATGTTGTTCAGAATTAACATGTCAGAATCGTTTTATTGTGTATTTTCCCAACCAAATTAGTTTTATACTACTGAGAACAGTGATTCCAAACTTCTGAAGAGTAGTGTAGATTCTGTTAACTGATTATTTGATGTGCAATAAAATAAAAATTTGAAGGCAGCTTACTTATTAAAGTTAAAAGAATAAGTATTTTGTACAGTGTACTGAATTAATGATTTATTATTACTAATTACCATTACTAAACTCTTTCTCCTCACAGTTGGTCTGGATGCAGCAGGAAAGACCACCATCCTCTACAAACTCAAACTGGGGGAAGTCGTCACAACCATCCCAACTCTTGGTAAGATTTGTTGACCAAATGTTGTCAAGCCACACATGAAGAAACCTCAATATTCTCGCTGTCCAAAAAAAAACATGTATCTCTGTTTTTGTCACTTTTTTTATTTTTCTGCATCATTTGAGCTCAGCAGCCGCCGTTTACATTGTGTGAAAATTTCATGCTTTTCATGCGTCAAATTTTAAAGCTCATTAACTCAAATCAAAAGTAAAGAAAGTTTTTGTCTTCTTCTGGAAAGTTAGTGACGATATTAGGAGAGTAATGTTTGTTTTGTTTGTTAAATAACATCAGCGAACACATCTTTTGTGCATACAGGCTTCAACGTTGAGACTGTGGAGTACAAGAACATCTCTTTCACCGTGTGGGACGTAGGTGGACAGGATGTTATCAGACGTCTCTGGAGACACTACTATCAGAACACCAGTGTAAGTGGACAATCCAGAACATACAACCACATTACAGCTCATATAGGTGGAAGCAGAATCCTAAGCATGATGACTTCACTAAATGTTCTAATGTATTCAGAAACCCTTTCTAATTAGTAAATCAGGCTGTTTTAATATGAACCTATTGCCAGAGATGGGGACTCGTATGTTGACTGAGTTGACTCAGAAATTTCAGACCAAGAAAAAACACAAACCCGATTAAATCAGGACCGTCTACCTTAAAGTGGTAAATAAATATAAGACTTTTCCAGTTCTTTTTGCTACAGTGATACACAGTCATTACAGCAATGCTGCTTTCCTGCAGCCCACAGCAGCATCAGCTTCGAGACAAATAACAAGTCTTTTACTAGAAAAACCTTCAGTCTGATGGACAGAAGTTTTCTGAAGTTTTAGTTACACCTCACATTTCTTTAAAACTAACTGAAACTTCATCTGCATTAGTCTGTAGTTTGTATGGTTAGCTAGCCCAAGAGCTAATCTAGCCGACGTTTTAGTGAGTTACACCTCAAATGTCTTTAACACTCACTAAACCTTATCTGGATTAGCTGTTATGCTAGCTAGCATACTTGCCATGCAGCCTCCAGTCTAACCAGCCATTCCAAGTAATTTTGTCTGTTTCTGTTAAGCACCACACTTCAGTTCTGTCCCTCTAAGTTGTTTTTCTATAGTAAAAGACTTGCATGTCAAACCTGACAGGTTTTAGTTGGGTCTACATTTAGTACAGTACAATGCCTGCAGCTGATATTAGAAGTAGAGCAGTGGAACTGCGTTCTCTGGAGTGATGGAGCTCCATCCAATACCTTTGGTGATGAGTTGGAGTGAAGTTTGTAATCCAGAACTATACATCCAATCCAAAGATCAGTACCTGACCTCACCAATGATCTGTGGCCGAAAGCAATCAAATCCTCACAACACTCTTCTTCCCAGAAGAGTAGAAGCTTTTACTGCGGCAAAGGAGAACAAACTTTCCATTAATTTTCTACTTCTAATTTTCTACTTTCCACTTTTACCCTTGATTTCAGGAGGAAGGTTGGATGAGCAGGTGTTTACACCCCACTGGACAATAATTTCATGATATTCAGCTTAAATAAACCTTGTCATGTATTCCATGTTTCTGTAGGGCCTCATCTTTGTGGTGGACAGCAATGACAGTGAACGCATAGATGAAGCCTCAGCAGAGCTGCATACCATGGTAGATATAAATCCTGTTGATTTTATATAAAATGTGTTTCTCCAGTTTGTCCGGGAGCATCTTTTATATTCTTCTTCATCTTCAGCTTCAAGAAGATGAGCTGAGGGACGCTGTCGTGCTGGTTCTCGCTAACAAACAGGATTTACCCAACGCTGTGCCAGTGCAAAAGATAACTGAGAGGCTGGGTTTGCACACAATGAAAGGAAGAAATGTGAGTAGATCATAACTACAGTAGTATCATGTGACGAGTTGAACTGTAGCATTGTTGAATATCTTGTAAAACCTTTAGGGCTGCTTTTGTGGATGTGGATTAAGCCTAGTATTGGACTAAACTGCAATGCTGATGGTGTTTCACCATTAAAATTCACATTTAATCTGAATATTGGCTTAATCTGGGTCTGTGAAACTGGCCCTTAGGGTTTACATCCATGTATACCTACAGCAGTACGTGTTCACTCTCATTTCTGTCTCTCTCTTCAGTGGTACGTCCAGCCGGCCTGTGCAGTAAATGGAACAGGTTTATATGAAGGACTGGACTGGCTATCGAATCAGCTCTCCAAAAAATAAAAATGTTCATGTTCTTGTGATCAATTTTTTTATTGGTTAAAATGTTTATGTTTTAAGGGCACTTCTTAAAGAATGGTAAACTGCACTTTGTTTTATATTCAGATGTAAGCCTATACATTATGGTATAGGTTATATAATTGCCTCCTTATGCACTTTTTCTGTCAATCTTTTATTTACAACTCATGTATTTATACTCATTTGCCAATATTCTCTCAGGAATATGTTGTTTAATTGTTGTAAATGTATGCCTGTGACTGTAAATAATTATTAAAATATATTGTGCAAAAGTTTGAGTTAAGAATATTTTAGGACGTTTGGTTCCTATCACCACCACTGTAAAGAAATCTGACTAATTATTAAAATATACATTACTGTGCAAAGTCTGAGACCACCTATCATTTACTTAGTTTTTCTTGATTACGAAAACACATTGAATGAAACTGGAGTCAACTTAATCTTTACTTTCACTTTCTTATCAAAGTAGAAGTCAAATATGCAAATATGTGAACACCATTTCACTAATTTGTCACACAATCTTTCATAACAGTTAATACACATCTCATGAAAAACCACAAATGTTCACTGGACAGCTGTGTAAAACTGAAGCAAAACATGTAGTGACAGCTGATAGAAGATACTCATATCTACGTTCATCACCTGAGTGAACTATATAGTGCACATTTGTTGACTCAGCAATCAGCTGTCATCAGTTGTTGACTACAAGCATGGATAAAGAGACTGTAGGCAGTCCTGAGAAATAGGTAAGAGGTCTGTCACTGTATAAAATAAGATCAAGAAACATTCACAATGGATTACCCCAGAGATACTAAAACCATGTGTTACAAGACAAGTGTCTGTCTGTTTGTGTGTGTGTGTGTGTGTGTGTGTGTGTGTGTGTGTGTGTGAGTATAGCCAAACTATAACTTTAATTAATTGCTAGCACATGTATAAAATCCAGCTCCATAGGCAATTATTGGCAGTAGAATGGTTCGTACTTAAGAGCTTAGTGACTTTAAATGTGGCGCTGTCATAGACGACACCTTTTATCTTGATAAATCTCCCCCAGTCAACTGCTGAGTGCTATTATTATGAAATGGAAGTAAAAGAGCTCAGCCACGAACACACAACCACTCACAAACTCACAGAGCAGAGCTGCCGAGTGCTGAAGCTTGTAAAAATCACTGATCCTTTGAGGCACCAAACTGCCTCTTGAAGCAACATAAGCATTAGAACTGAGTGTTGGGAGCTTCGTGAAATGCGTTTCCATGGCCAAACAACTGCACACCAGCCTAACATCGCTGCACAGTGCCAAGTGTCAGCTGGAGTGTAAAGCACACCACCATTGGGCTCTATAGCAGTGGAAACAGGTTCTTGTGAGTGATGAATCACGGTTCTCTATGATGGAAGAATCTGAGTTTGGCGGAGAACGTTACCTACCAGAATGCTTAATGACAACAGTAAAGTTTGGTGGAGGAGGGATGATGGACAGGTGCTGTTTTTGATATTGTAGTGGTTGTTGTTGTTGTTGCTATTTACTTATTCCTCTTTGTTTGTATATGAGCTTGATATTACTGTTGTCATTAATATTATTATTATTATTATTATTATTATTATTGTTGTTGTTGTTGTTGTTGTTGTTGTTGCCATAACATATATTATAAAAGTATATAACACAATATTATATTGTGTTGTATTATATATTGTAATGTTGTGATCATTGCTGTGGTAACCTGTTTTTATCAACATTGTCATTGTTTATCAGTAGTATTATTGTTATAACGTTGTTATTATCGAGGTTGTTGTGTGTTAATATTGTTGTAATTACTGGTTTTGTAACTTCAACATTTCTGAGCCACGTCACTCCTCGCGCGCTGGAGTTGATAGTGGAGCTTCTTCCAGCCGGGCAGCGAGCGCGTGTACTAACCTGAGCAAAGCGGTAGTGACGTCACCCGCTGCCTTTATAAGAGCAGCCGAGCGGCGGACTGAGCAGAAGAGCGCGAGCCGCTGAGAATAAAAGTCCTGCGGAGCAGCGAGAGAACAGAGTTCATCACCTCTCAGCTCCAGTCTCTCAGTATGGGGAACATCATCGCCTACATCCTTTCTCGGCTCACTGAGAAGAAGCAGATGAGAATATTGATGGGTGAGTGAATCTGCTCAGATCAGCTTTGGTTAGTATAAAACAATATTAAACAGTACATTCATGTTTTTTCTTTGATCATTTTTGAAAAAATATTTAGCAGGTAGGTTTGAAATAACAAATATAAGACAGCCCTTAAGAATGCTTCTAACAATAATGTGGAATTAATTATTCAAAACCAAAGAAAGTTTTGTTGTTTTAACTTTGAGAAGTAAGTTATCTGGTTCACTTTAACTCTTAAGTTTATTGACCCTCTTAACCTCTAATCTATGTACACTACTGTTCATTCTGTGAAATAGGAGTGAATAAAATAAACAATAATAGACAATTTACTGTAAATATCTATTTACATTCATTTCTTTATCTGCTTTGAGATTTTAACTCCACTTTTAAAACATAATGAATTAAAACAATGAATTCTGAAGTTTATGTTAAAACTTCATTTTATAACGTCAGTTTAGAACAGTCTGAACTTCCATTCATCATTCTGGACTCACTTAAAAAGTGGTTCTTCAGGGGTTTTTAGTAAAGCAGTTTGTATATATACAACCATGAAAATTCAAAGACGCATGTGAAAGTTCAAAGGGTTAAATAGTTGTTCTCTAAAGATAAATAACCTGTTTTAAATTGTTTTTTAAAGAACTCTTACAAAAATATTTGTTTATAGCACCAAAGAGGGTTCCACTGCCCACCCCGTAATCTAAGAGTGAACTTATTTGAAAGCTGTGTCGATGCACAGAATTAACATGTTAGAATGATTTTATTGTGTATTCTTCCAACCGAATTAGCTTTATAATACGGAGAACAGTGATTCCAAACTTTTGAACAGTTGTGTAGATTCTGTTAACTGATTATTTGATATTCATTAAAATCAAAATTTGAAGTCAACTTACTTTTTAAAGTTAAAAGAATAAATATTTTGTACAGTGTACTGAATTAATGATTTATTATTACTAATTACTGTGCACTGTTAATATTACTAAACTCTTTCTCCTCACAGTTGGTCTGGATGCAGCAGGAAAGACCACCATCCTCTACAAACTCAAACTGGGGGACGTTGTCATAACCATTCCAACTCTTGGTGAGATTTGTTGACCAAATGTTGTCAAGCCACACATGAAGAAACCTCAATATTCTCGCTCTCCAAAGAAAAACATGCATCTCCATTTTTGTTCATATTTATTTTTCTGCATCATTTGAGCTCAGCAGCCGCCGTTTACATTGTGTGAAAATTTCATGCTTTTCTTGCGTCAAATTTTAAAGCTCATTAACTCAAATCAAAAGTAAAGAAAGTTTTTGTCTTCTTCTGGAAAGTTAGTGACGATATTAAGAGAGTAAATGTTTGTTTTGTTTGTTAAATAACATCAGCGAACACATTTTTTATGCATACAGGCTTCAACGTTGAGACTGTGGAGTACAAGAACATCTCTCTCACCGTGTGGGACGTAGGTGGACAGGATGTTATCAGACGTCTCTGGAGACACTACTATCAGAACACCAGTGTAAGTGGATTATCTAGAACATACAACCACATTACAGCTCATATAGGTGGAAGCAGAATAAGCTACTTTAAGGTGCACCTATTGCCAGAGATGGGGACTCATATGTTGACTGAGTCGACTCAGACTAAGAAAAATTTCAGACTGAGAAAAAAACAAACCCAATTAAATCAGGACCGTCTACCTGAAAGTAGTAAATAAATATGACTTTTTCTGTTCTTTTTGCTACAGTGATACACAGTCATTACAGCAATGCTGCTTTCCTGCAGCTCACAGCAGCATCAGGTTCAATATAAATAACAAGTCTTTTATCAGAAAAACCTTCAGTCTGATGGACAGAATGAAGCGCTACATGCAGTAAATGCAGTGTTTAAAGGAAAGAGGGAAAACAAATTGAAATGGTTGGCTATCATGTCGAATGCTAGTTAGCCCAAGAACCTTTGCCATGTCAAACCTGACAGGTTTTAGTTAGGTCTACATTTAGTACAGTGCAATGCCTGCAGCTAATAATGAAACTAAACTAAAATTCTATACTAAAGATTTGAGGCTTGACTCACTCTCACACTCCATAGAGAAGCATTTCAAAGAGAATACCTGACCTCACTAATGCTCTTGTGGCTAAGTGCAATCAAATCCTCACGGCAATGTTCTAACATTTAATGTAAAGCCTTCCCAGAAGGGTAGAAGCTCTTACTGTGGAAAAGGAGGACAAACTTTCTATTAATACCCTTGATTTCAGGAGAAATGTTGGTGAGCAGGTGTTTACAACCCACTGGACAATAATTTCATGATATCCAGTTTAAATAAACCTTGGCATGTATTCCATGTTTCTGTAGGGCCTCATCTTTGTGGTGGACAGCAATGACAGTGAGCGCATAGATGAAGCCTCAGCAGAGCTGCATACCATGGTAGATATAAATCCTGTTGATTTTATACAAAATGTGTTTCTCCAGTTTGTCCAGGAGCGTCTTTTATATTCTTCTTCATCTGTAGCTTCAAGAAGATGAGCTGAGGGACGCTGTCGTGCTGGTTCTCGCTAACAAACAGGATTTACCCAACGCTGTGCCAGTGCAAAAGATAACTGAGAGGCTGGGTTTGCACACAATGAAAGGAAGAAATGTGAGTAGATCATAATTACAGTAGTATCATCTGATGAGTTGAACTGTAACACTGTTGAGTATCTTTTAAAAGCCTTAGGGCTGCTTTTGTGGACGTGGATTAAGCCTAGCATTGGACTAAACTGCAATGCTGATGGTGTTTCACCATTAAAATACGCCTTTAATCTGAATATTGGCTTAATCTGGGTCTGTGAAACTGGTCCTTAGGGTTTACATCCATGTATACCTACAGCAGTAAGTGTTCACTCTCATTTCTGTCTCTCTCTTCAGTGGTACGTCCAGCCGGCCTGTGCAGTAAATGGAACAGGTTTATATGAAGGACTGGACTGGCTATCGAATCAGCTCTCCAAAAAATAAAAATGTTCATGTTTTTAAGGGCACTTCTTAAAGAATGGTGAACTACACTTTGTTTTATATTCAGATGTAAGCCTATACATTATGGTATAGGTTACATAATTGCCTCCTTATGCACTTTTTCTATCAATCTTTTATTTACAATTCATGTATTTATACTCATTTGCCAATATTCTCTCATGAATATGTTGTTTAATTGTTGTAAATGTATGCCTGTGACTGTAAATAATTATTAAAATATATTGTGCAAAAGTTTGAGACCAAACTTTTTTTTCTCAACTGCTAAAACACGTTTAATGAAACTGGAGTCAACTTAATCCTCACTTTCACTTTCTTATCAAAGTAGAAGTCAAATATGCAAATATGTTATTCTACTTCACTAATTTGTCACACAGTCTTTCAGAACTTTAATACACATCTCATAGAAGAACACAAAAGTTTATTGGACAGTGATGATAGTACATAATCTTATATTTACGTTCATCACCTGAGTGAACTGCATAGTGTACATTTGTTAACTCAGCAATCAGTTGTCATCAGTTTCTGACTGTAAGCATGGAGACTGTAGACAGTCAGATGAGAAATAGGTAAAAGGTCTGTCATTATACAAAATAAGACCAATAAACATACAGACAATAGATTCTTCCAGAGATACTACAAGGCAATTTACTGCACACGCCCTCTGTACTGTATATACATAGATGTATATCGCTGCTGTAGGGATAAAACCTTGCATTCCGCTTTTTGTCATTTTTGATTTTTTTGACATAGTTTGGAAAAGGCAGTTGCCCTTTATGTTGTCTGAAAGTTTTATGATGAATAGACCAACAGAAATGGTCCAAAATTACTTGGGGGGAAAAAAATATTTCTTCCTTTACTTCCAATAAAAGTTAAAAATATTTTAGGATGTTTGGTTCCTATCACCACCACCGTAAAGAAATCTGACTCGGTAAGTGCTATAATAATGAAAAGGAAGCAACAAGATAGGTAGACCACACAAACTCAGAGCAGAGCCACCGAGTGCTGAAGCACATAAAAATGACTTTTGAGGCACCACTTACTACAGAGGTCCAAACTGCCACTTGAAGCAATATTAGCATTATCACTGTGTGTCAGGAGCTTCGCGAAATGGCTGTCCATGGCCAACCAGCTGCACACAAGCCTAATATCATTGCATGATGCCAAGCATTGGCTAGCATGGTGTAAAGCACACCGCCACTGGGCTTTATAGCAGTGGAAACGTGTACTCTGGAGTGATAAATCATGCATCATTATCATGCATCAACAGTGACGCTACCTACCAGAACGCTTAATGCTAACAGTAGAAGTTTGGTGGAGGAGGGATAATAGGCTGGGCTGTTTTTCAGGGTTTGGGACCCTTAGTTCCAGTGAAGGGTGATGTTAATACTACAGTTTACAAAGACATTTTAGATAAATATATTCTCCCAACTTTGTGGCAACATTTGGGGAAGGACCTTTCCTGTTCCAGCATGACTGTGAGCTCCAGTAATACAATGGTGTGACAAGTTGCCCCAGTGGCCTGCACAAAGCCCTGACCTCAACCCCACTAAACACCTTTGGGTTGAATTGGAACGTTGAATGAGCACAAATTCCCAGACATTCGATTCTCCAAAACCTTGTGGAAGGCTGTCCCAGAAGAGTGGAGGCTGCTATGGCTGCAAAAGGAGGCAGACTTCATATTAATGTCCATAGTTTTGGAATGGGATGTCCAACAAGCTCATATAAGTGTGATGGTCAGGTGTCTAAGTACTTTTGGCCATACATAGTTTAAAGTTCAGTCTTAGAAGCTTTTTTTTCTGCCTCTTAAAGTTCCATGCAAAATTTCAAGTGCACTAATAATAGACAATATACTCATCCCTAAAACATGAAATGATCAGGCCGCTAACCGTATGATTGTTAAAGCACTGATAAGCTCCAACATTACTGTAGAAATAAAGACAAAATACAGCAGTTAAACTCTGAATATTTATTTACAGTTAAAACAAAGCAAAAAAAACAGAACCTTCATGAAAGATGTAATGTATATGAAACACTACAGCACAGACTTACAGACTTCAGTAAAGCATTAGTGGTTATGGCTTTGATAGAAAAAATAAAAGTATTAATGCCAAAATATATAACTCGGCGCAACATGTATTACACCTGTGCTTCTTTAGATGTTTTCAGAATCATATTTGCCCTTTTATGACATTATAATTATTACACAACAATGAACTGTACATCAATTTCCTATAGAAACTGTCAGGATCAAAAATACAGGTGTTACAAAATACTGTTAGGTTGCCACTCTGGTTACGCGCAACAGTGAGTAGTTTCTTGAGTAGTAGAATAACAGAATATAACTTTATATAAAATTCAAGCATGTTAAAATAAGTTCCTCTTTAAGTATAAAACACGAGAGGTTGTCCAACAACCAGTTATTACAGATCTGCACTGACTGCTAGTGATTGGCTCAGTTTTACGGCCCCTTACGAGTTGCTGAGTTGGACTTAAAGGCAACAGCAACATATCGTCTCTGCTAAGTCTTAGGCCTAGTCTGAGTCTTTTAAACCAGCCAAAGGGGTTCAGGCCATAAACTTCATGAACTGCACTGACAGGATTCAGTTGTACTCTACAGAAAAGTGATGACATAAAAACATACATTTCAGGTGTCAGTCAATGATTGTGTAATTTAAAAAGAAATTCTGCTGATTAACAAAAAAAATCAACTTTGTTGAGATGTAAACAAAGCAATTCAGAGCAGTTTAACATAAACGGTTTACTGCAGAGTAAATTACAGTCAAGATTTCTTACAGTGGTGGTGATAGGAACCAGGAGTCTACATCACAAATATAGCCATCTTATTTACTGTTCAAAGTGACCAGTAAACCTAGTTTTTATATGTAACATTGATTAAAAAAAGTTTTCTTTGGGTACTACTTTGCCTTATGTCTTAAATGTGTCTTAAATGTGTTTTTTTTTTTATTTATGTGATTTAGGGCAATATATTATCAGAAAAAATGATCATAAAAACAACGTCAGGCATCAGACAACATATCTGTGAGGTAGCCTTTAGAGGCATTAAAACCCTAGGACGTTTGGTTCCTATCACCACCACTGTAAAGAAATCTGACGGTAAGTCTCTACAATGGACTACTTCACATCAAACCAATCCGAATGACTGTTTGCATCTTAACAATTTAATTATGTAGACAGTTAAATTAGTGGAATTCCCGTTTAAAACATAAAACTATGACGGTGGTCAGTATCTTTGGTTGTTTCCATGTTTTGCTCCCTTCCTCAAGGCACACGATAGAAGAAAGCTTGAGGATCTCCATGCGTAAATCCATCTCCATGCTTCTAGTCATGTACTTTGTACACTGTCAAAAACGATGTGTTGGCAGCACATTCTATTTTACCACATTGTATAATAAAAATACTGAAAGAGTGCTGCTGGTAGAGGAATATACTGTTATATACATTCTCATACAAAAAAAAATGAATCTCTCTGTCACTCTTCTAACTGCAGTTTTGTTTATCCACAGCCATGTTATAATAAAGGCTTTTTCATTTAATAAGAGTGCCACAGAGTTTCTTTTGTAACACAATGTGTTGTACTTAACTGAACAGATACACATTTAAAATGAAACAAAACAAAAACAGCATGTTGCTTTAAACACATCTGTTTTGACAGTGTGGTTATCCATAAAAATATATGCCAATAAAACTGCTCACATCATCCCTGCTCATACAAACGATGCTTTAAAACTTCCCTAAAATGTTAAAAAGTACAACTGACAACAAACAACAGCTGTCATGGGCACTGTTACTGCACAAGGATTACAGAAGCATGTTTGGTCATAAAAGAGGCATAAAATCACTCAGTTATCTGGGAGCAAATAAAAGAAAGCACACCAATTCAGTTCAGCTTTATAGAATGGAAGGCACAACGCAACAAGGATGATCCTTAGAAATATCATTCAGGAGTGGTATAAAAGTTATTAGGAGAACATGTTGGGATTGAGGTAAAAGGTCAAGTAAGTCTAAATTGAAATGTCAGTTAATCCAATGTTTGGTTTGGATTATTAAAATTACAATAAAACTGAATAAACAGGGGGAATGATGTTATGCCAGTTACTTGTCACTACAATCTTAATCTTACAATTTTTCACAAAACTCCATTTAAGCACTGACATTTATGAACTGCTTTAATTCCAAGACCTTTGTGTTTTAAAAGCACTGATGAATGACTAAAGAAGAACGGTTTCTGTCTTTGCTTACAGCAAATTGCTAATTCTGAAAAATGTGTCATGCACCCTGTGAAATAAACATGATTTCTTTAAGTACTTAAGGACTGGAACTGAAAGAACTGTAAGCTGTTAAAAAGGTATTTTCCCTTTCGCTATTTTCAAGTCAGTCTAAGTCAGCTCCACAGTTTCCACCCCATTGAAAAAGAATGAATGCTAGACATTTTGAATGACATACAATGCCAGAAATCAGCATCAGTTGTAATACCCCTCGTTCTGAAAATGAAGCACACGTCACTGTTCCTTCATTAAGATATTTCAGGTCTGCTGTGCTCTTAGTGTTGCTCCATATCTGAAACCTTTGCATTGTCACAATAATCAACCTCATTAACCTAGAATATCAGTGCATTTTTCTTTATTCCCTGCTTATTATTGGCTACCTAACCAGTGTTTTGTACTACCCATGGTACGTGTCCACTGCCCGCAAATACACTATCCGATTCCACTCCCATTTGTTTTTAGTGTGGAGTAGTGAAAAGTGACGGTGGGCAAGTCATGCGAACTTCACTCAGGGCGTGGTGAGAAAAGCAGAGCTGGTTTTAACTTTCCGCCTGTGTCCAAAACCACATACCAGCACACTACACAAATGAATGCCATCTCATGGTGGTGTGCTATTTTTGACATACTATTTGATAAGGTAGTATGCAGTTTTAGACGCAGCCCATGCAAATTACACAGGCAAATGCTGATTTCCATTGACCGCGCACAACAAGGATAGACCTACATAATGTTGTCTGGATGAAACTACTTTTAGCTCCATGTACTTCTTGAAGCTGAGTACAATAATAAAAAAGGATTTTTTTTTATTGTGAGAGGACCATCTGAGAGGGAACGTGCATCACTGAATTCCACTCTAAACCGAGTGAAAATTAATACATTTTAACTACTCTAACATACTATACAGAAATATTTGCCTCAAGCGGTGAGGCACCGGCAAAGGGAGTGAAGGGAGACATCTGCGGCATATGCTGTGGACACGTACCGTATGGGCAGGTTTTTTGATGCAGACCAACAAATCTTCAGCTTATAGAAATGAACAACATGACATATCCAAAGGAAATATTTAGGGCTGGGCCAACTCTATGCCCAGAAAACCTGCCTACCCCAGTCAATAAAACAACTGAACATCTACCAGCTGCAGGAATTTTGGAAAAAGCCAGCTTTACTATGTATTCACCACTTCCTCCTCTAACATTTCATTTAAGGGCTTAAATATCTGGCTGGTAGCCTTCCTTGTGGTTTCTCTACACCTCAGTTTCTCTCCAGGCAGCCATGTTTTTCAAACTCAAAAACAAAGTCAGTCTCACACAGTGAGAGACGTACAGTATAAATATGTGGAACTTAACAGAATATGCATCACTTTCCAAAGAAACAATCTCTTACATACAGCGTGGCAAAAGTCATCAGACCGATTTCATCTTTGCCGGGCTTCGGCAATGCCAGCATTGCCCCACTCCAGGGCACACAGGTCTATAGGAAACAATTGCACTTGAAAGTAGAGCCGGTTAAAATCCACAGAGGAGGTGCCAGGTTTGCCTCCGACGCCAAAACACAGTCATCAGCTCCGCTGTCCCCTCTTGGCCTTGGTTACGCAGTAGTTTTTGTTAAGGTCAGGGGCTGACAGGCTTGTGCAGGATGCCCTGCAGGTCTTCTGGAAGAGTGAGGATGACTGACTCGATGTGGGCCTGAAGTTTGGCCAGGGTCCCTGCTCTTACTGGCAGCTTCTCTCTCTCTGCCTGCGTCTGGAAGAGAGCAGGAAAAAAAATACATGACGAAGCAAAAAACTGTTTTAAAGAAGTAGTTTGGTTAAAAATCATACTTACAAAAATGTAGTCTGTCAATCAGCCAAGTCCAAAGTTTATTTTTGTAAGGAAGCTATGAGGCTAACATAACAGAAGCCTATAGCACCCCCATCAGTTAGCTTTGTGCAATATGCATGCTTAAATCATCACAAATTTGCCTTAAAACCACATACAGTGGTTTGGTAATCAAGAAAAAAAAATAGTGATAGCAGCAATTTTTAATTCATTTTTCCAATAGACAGAATCAGCTTTCTTATATGGGCTTTATAGCATCCACAGAACGATGCACTGCTTCAGAGGTCTATGGAGAAACATACACTGCAGTGTTAAAAATATTAGTAGAAATACTGAAGTCTGGTCCAAACTTTTGTACATTTTTTTGCATAACAAATTGAGACAAGTGTATGATATTTTAGACATGCAGTTTGCACAACACCAATCTGGAGAGAATGCTTTCATATAAGCTTCACGAGCCTCATAGTTCCAGTGTGATATCCAGTGGGGGACATCATAACAAAACACAAACACTAAAACCAAAGTGAAGTTTGAATCCAAGCATTAAAAGAGAGACTACAAATACCAACCAGTTTGTCCTTCAATTTGAGTACAAGGTCGACTGTCTCCACTTCTGTGTGTTTTTGAATTCGCAACTGGAGATCCTGGAAAAAAAAAGCTGGCCGTTATTCACCACCACTTTTAAAGCACATGTTCTATTTGGGAAAAACATGTTTACTGTGTCTGGTCATTTGAACCTCATCACAAAGTGCCTCAAGGTGCAGGGCCTCTAATTTCTGAGTCATCTCTTTCCTTCGGTTCCTGAACCAGCCGTCAAAGTTGGGTGACTTGAGGAACTGCCTGCAGGGCAGATCATGTGAAGGAATGTTAGGGAACCTTCCCAGACAAAATTCAGGGTTCAAGATGTGCAGGGGTTATTAATCTTCTCCACAAAGGGCTTTCATTCCAGGCAAGTGAGGAAACACCTCCTATAACTAATCAATCATTACAAGACTGAGACAAACTGATGAAGCAAGTGGAATCAGATGCAGTTCAGGTTTCATGTTTTCCTTCGGCATGTAATAGTTAACGTCCTTAACAAATAGCAAAAAAATGTGAACATAAAAAGTTAAAGGAACAATATATAGTGAATAAGAAGCATATATGCAGTTCAAGCCTGACATTCACATGTTTCTTTGTTCTTTTTTGCAGCTGTCTGAAGAGCTAATGTCCATGGGTGTTGCACTGTACCTATAAAGGCCTATCCAGTCTCCTTTGAGTCGTGAGGTGAGCTGAGGTCCAGCCTTTTCCAGAGTCTTCATAAACTCATCCTGAATGAAAGGCTTCAGCTGAGGAGGACTCTGAGTGTTGACAGATGACAGTTAAAGAAAGGCATAGCAGGAAAAAGAGTGAAATGAATGGTAAGATTTTAAAGGCACTTATTCTTGACAGGCAGAAGTGCAAAGTTACTAAAGACTACAACGGGTGCAAATATAAACTCCATCTTACTTTCCAAGGGCAGATGCTCTTCTGTAAAGGCATCAGGCTGGCAACATAGCGCTCCTGAAAATTCAATTAACAACACACTGAGATGCAACAAATGTTACCCTCTGTTTGTGTTTATTTAATTTAAAATACATTTTTGTTCATCTCCAACATGTGACACTGCTTTGCTAGATCAAAAACCTTCAGAAACCAATTTCACAGTCTGAAATCAGGCTGCATGTAAATGTGGCTACAGTAGATTAAAATAATAAACACTAGAAGCTATTTTAGATGTTTGTATTCATAATTCTAGGTTTTAAGGAACAAAAAAAGCCATTTTATTTTTTAAATAATTTTTAACAGTAATTTATCTATTTACAGTGATTTCACGTCATGTTATCAACCTCAAGATCTGTTAATTTCTATTTTAAATAAGGCGCCATTTAAAACCTATGAAGCTGTTGCAGCACTAATAAATTTATTCATGTATCTGCCACAAAACATTATTGAAAACAGTGATTCAAAGTTTTTGACTGGTAGAGACATCTATGAGACCAATCAGTTGCATTACACATCCCAGTTATCTGCCACCCATTCTTTGAAAACTTGCTGCAAAAGAATTTTTGTGGACCATGACCACTTACGATGCAAGGCTCACAGAAAAAACTGTACTGCATCAGGACACTGCCATCACTTTCATTGTCTACTTCTGAGCTGCCGACATGGTGATCATGTTCATCATGAGCTGCTCACTATGATGAGTTTTGTATGACTGGTAACAAAAAAAATAAAAAATTCTTACCAAGGGAATGATGAAACTCTGCGTCAGCTCCAAGAAATATCTCCGCAGGATGGCATTTTGAGCCGCAGAAGGGCGTTTCTGCTGAACCCCCTGAGAGACAATTTAAAAGAAACAGACATAAGAACATCTCAGCTAATAAAAATAGATACTAATGATGAGAAAATGTTTGTGAACATGCTGACCTTCTGTAGCTGCTTGATGATTTCTTCATCTTTGTTCAGGAATGGCTTATATGCGGTATATACACCTGTTAAGTTCAAAGGAGGCTTGTGTCACAGAAATAGGAGTCTATGACAATTTTCCAACCTTTCTTTATCCTGGAGAACGAAACAGGCCTTTATGGCTGCTGTGCTTTTAAGGCTGAGGCATGCACTCGGTCTCCTTGTTGATTGCCTGACCTGTGTTGTGCCTCACCTGAAGCTGAAACACTCTTTATAACTTTTACATGAATGGACGGAGCTAAACTGATGTAGGCTGACTAAGCGGACACGTAAATGCGTTCATGGCTGTGACATCACAAAAACAAATCAAAAATGGGCTGTTTGCATACTACATCAAACTCTCTTCTAAGAAAGTGAGGAAATTTGATTTTCCATGATATGGACTCTTTAAGTTTGGCCCTGTTGTTTTGATAGGGAAAATCTAATAGTCACATTGATCTTCATCTCACCTGGTTTAGAATCCAGAGTCTTCAAATTCTTTAATTTCTTCACTTTCATTTGTTTGGCCATCTCTCCTAGAGAAAACTGCACTTTTAAAATTGCATATTTAAAAACATTTCAGATCTGAAAAAATGCTGTTAAAAGAATAGTTTAGTTACATGTACTATTTGCAACTTTCTAAATATAAATGAATGGAGACAGCCACCAATTAGCATTATATAAAGGATTTTATATAATTTGTAACTACTAGCTTCTTATTAGCCATGTAGCACACAAGCTATTCCTTTAAAGCCACATTTTGACTCGGTTTCTGTCCTTTGTGATGTACTTTCACACAGCACATTACTGGTCAGCTGCTAGTCACATGGTAGCATTCATTTCCAATTAATTTCATATGTATTATACCTTTATCTGTTCAGTTTTTTTATATTAGTTTACTGAATTATTTCTTTTTTATATCATGTGTCAGCCATCATTATAAAATGAAAAATTTTAAAAAGTTACCTGTTTGTTTCATGTCACCAATACGGATAATGTGAGGCCAATGCTGAAGAGTTTTGGCAAAGAAAGGGTTTGTCACGCCCAAAATGACAGACGGTCTGCAAACATTACATAGACAAATACATAGATACATTTTATACAATGCTGCTTAAATTATGTACAATAAATAAGAACACTTCCTGCTTTTTCAAGTTCAGAAATAACAACGCAGATTAATTACAATAATATAAAATCAGATTACAGGGAAATTAGGTATTACAAGTAGTATGCAAAAGTCTAAACACGCCCGGTCAATTTCAATGCTTTGTTGATTTTCTAAGTGAAAATAAATTCACGACCTCTACACAGAACACACTTAAATATGACATTTTTTGCAAACTTTACGGCACAATTTCTATTTATTTTTACAAGTTTAACATGTTAAAAAAAAGTTAAACATAAAATGTTATATTCTTTTAACATGTTAAATTCCGAAAAAAAATAAAAACAAAACAAAACAAAAAAAACAGTAATTGTGCATTGCAATGTGCAGAGGTGTGTTCCCAATAGTTGATGAGTTAACTTATTTTTCACTTTAAAAATCAACAAAACATGTAATTTCACCAGGACTGACTAAACTTTTGCCTACGACTGTACACTACTGTTCAAAAGTTCGGCATTGTTTTCGTAGGGCGAGTTGAAAGAAGTAAATAAAAAAAAATAGATCCACACAGATGAGGAACAGAGTTGTAAAAGGTTCTAAAATGGCAGACAAAGCTGTACAACATCAAGACTAAAACGAATGGAATGTTTAGAATGCCTCGAGTTTCAAAAGTGGTGATCAAATCTCAGGATAGACCTTGAGAAAAAAAAATACTGTAAATAATCAATTATTTAGCATTTATTTTGCTTGTTGTTTCCAAAAATATGTGAAATATTATATAAAATTTCAGAAGATTGTTTTTAACATTTTATAAGTGATTATTGCTATGCAAAAAAACACATTATTAATACAACAAAAGAGTCCAAACTTATGAATGGTACTGGACTGTATCAGCTGTAAGACACTGACAGTTAGGCACAAATCAAATATCTAGAGCAAATGCCTGTTTTGAATTAATAACATTGCATATGTTTAACGTAGTTAAGGATTTTTGGCAGGCTGGAATTCTACTCATTCCAGTTCTGTTCTGTACTCAATAGAGGCATTGTAAGGCATAATGTCAGACTACCTCAATGGCAGTCATTCTGCTCTAATGTCAGTCACAAGGCTTACTGTGAGCTGTGTAAGGATGTCTCATTGTTCTGGCCAAAGGAGTTCCAGAGGACTGTCATATTCAAAGCAAGTCAATTCTCAGGGTAATGTTACATTGTGCAGTTCAACAATGCTGCTCACTAAACTTATTCAAATCTAACTTCTGTGAAAGGCAGTGAGGTAGTTCCTCCTATTTCAGTCTATCTTTGAGAGGATACCAGTAACTTCAAAAGCAGAGTGTGATGCAGGCACAGAGTACTCACGGAGCCTGAGTTCGGGTTGTGTACTCTTTGAACTCACTGTCGTGGATGGTGAAGTAGGGGCGGAAGTCACTGCAGTAACGCAATGGGGCAACACAGCTGATGAAATCAAAAAAGGAGGAGAGAAACAAAGCATTGATATACACATAATATATGTTAAAAGGCAATAAATATATAATCGCATCGCTGCTGCTGGAACAAACCTCATCTTCAAAAGTTTTCAGGAGAAGGAAAAACCTTCTTAATTTTTAATGTAAGTAAATGGAGCGAGATTTTACTACAAAGTCATTTTAGACATTTTCTGTCAAACAAAACAAAAAGAAAACAAAAACACAAACAAAAACACACACACACACACAAAAAGGAGATACAAGGCTTTGTTCCAACTGTGACTCTCAAAACCAGTTTGCTTATGGACTCTATTAATATAGTTTTTAAACAAGAATTGGAAAGAAAAACACATTAATTAGACATTTTAGATATGTCCAGAATGATGAATGGAGTTGCAGATAAGTTTATAATAATGAAGAAAGCGGTATAACATTAAGAAACTAATATCTAGAATGACGAATATTTCAAAAGTGGTCATTGTAATTTATCATTTAATAAATTCCCAAAATTACTGACATACTAAAACATGTTTGTTTCTAATACTTCAGTTTACATTGCAAGTTACTTTGGTATATAGAATACCAAAATTTATTTATATGTTAATCTATATGTCAATCTCTTCCTGACTGTCCTTCAGTTTCCTCCTTCAAAGCTCAGCTTAAAACCTACCTCTTTTCTCAGTACTTTCATTCTTCTGCTCACTTAAGGTTTTTCTGCTCTTTTTCTCCTGCCTCTGTAAAGCAACCTTGGGTATCAGAAAGGTGCTTCATACATTGGACTTGTTATTATTATTATTAATATTACTACTATCAACTGAAATAAAACTTTAATGCTGCCCTTGCTAACCGGGCATCAATAACTTAACTTATTGATAGCCTCGCCACGACTCATAGGTGAAACATTCCTTTCAAGCACCCCTTCATGTTGAATTTTTTTGCAAAGTTTGGCAAAACTAAGAAAAAAAAGCAGCACTTGCCCCCCGATTAGCACCTTGTTGTCTAACTGTATCTGAGCTAAAGCTGAAGCTGTGGCCTGAGCATGAATCACACCTCTGCAGGACCACAACAAACTGAGTCCAACTCATCTGGCTGCCCTGTCCAAGGTGAACCCTAGTGTGTGACTAAGGATTAGCTAGTTTTTAGTGGGTCTTGGCTATGAGCTTTTCTGCACTGCCCTTGTTTGTGTTTGGTGTTTGGACGCACTGCAATGTTTGTTCCTCAAAGATTTGCCAACAATGTTAAACCATACAAATAAACATAAAATAGCTCAGGAAAGAAGCATAATAGTTTAAAGGAGAATTGTTCACAGGGTTGGTGATAAGAACCAGATATCTGAAGCTTTAATAATCTAAATCTCTAATAGCTCCCTCACTCCTTATTACAAGAAATAGTTATGAATACATTGCCTGATGCCTGAGACATTGTTTCGAATATTTTTGAAGTGACGTTTTGGCCTAAAACATTTTTTAAATATGTTACGTGTTTTAAATAACTTACTTTTTTTAATTTAACAGTATTTTATCATTATCAACATTACATTTTTGACTGCAATGTGGTCAAAAAGCCTTTTGACTACGTCTGGACCACACTTAAAAGAAACAAAAGATAAAATATAAAACGCGCCAGAACTTTTGCACAGGCCACATGTTGTGTTTTATTTTCTCTATATGTTAAATTCAGCAAATAAACAGTAATTGTGTATTAAAACATGCCGACGTGTGCTCTGTAGAGGGTGTGTTCACTTATTTTCTCTTAGAAAATTAACAAAACATTATTTGACCGGGATGCCCAAACTTTTGCAAACAAATGCAACCCAGCAACACTGTAAAGAAAACTGATGTAGGTAAGTTTCTTTACAATGCACCATTTTATATCAAACTACTCGGAACGACTTTGTTTACATATCAACAAGTAAATTATGCAGAATTTCTGAAAAATCTGTGGAAGTCTTCATGATGTTTTGTCTACTTCTGACACTGTTTGACATCTATATAGATGTGCAGAAGTATGTCACGTAGGGAAATGTTATAAACTGAAATAAGAATGACATTAATTATGAAATCTACATTCTGTCCATACTTCTGCCAACTTTTTAAATAAAAGGACATCATAAAGTATCTGAGAACACAGACAAGTCTATTTGAGATTAATAAACAACCTGACACACTTTGAGGGAAGTGAAATCACTTCCAGGCAGACTTCCTGATGCTGACTTGAGGGGTATGAGCTTCTGTTACACCAGTGCAAAAGTATAAAAGCAAATGTTGGATGCCAAAAGCGTTTTGACTACTTTGGGAACAAGGGGGGAAAACTGTGCAAATCAGATTTTTTTTCCAAACTACTATTTTAATCGAAAACTCTACTACTGTGAGGAGCTATACGGATCATGTGAGCCTCCCAAAATCCAGGCCTCAACTCACCTGACTAACGCTAGCACGGTGTCTGAAGACTCTGCTGGTGAGGGTGCCATGACAACCAGTGCTTCACCCAGCAACACAAGCTCCCACAACATCTGAATGTGAAAGAAGACTGGACAGAAACACCTACAGCACAGAGGAAAGAGAATGCAGAGTAGATTATTCTGGTTACTAAATGAGTTCCTGCACTCTCTTAATGCTTCCTGCAGCCACTTCCTTTAAAAACAAGACACGGCCCTTTCCTTACGCCAGTGAACCGTGCTATTTCAGTCGAAGAGCTTTTCAGTATATCTGAGGCTCAGGGAGAGTTAAGCCCGTCTGCTTCATGAGGAGAATACTGATGATGCTGAGAACACTGATGGCTCCCGTTAAGTGTCTGCTTCTTCAGCTCGACTCAGGGCAGCAGGAAAGAAACAGATAGAGGAAGGCCATGGGGGGAGAGGTATCACCCTGTAGTGTCTCTCCTGTCACTGGATGGCTATTCTGCCCTCACCTCATCAATATGGAAATACACACAGACACTTGAAGAAGTGCAGTCAAAGTAAAGTCAATGATTTATATCTTGGGTCCAAGGAGAAATGGATGAAAATGTGTATAGGACTGTAATAGGGTCATAATATACACATTTTCAGCTACTCTAATAAGATAATAAGATTCAGATGCCAAGTTAACAGCAATTTAGTAAGTGTGCTTGTTTTTAATATATTTTTAATGCAACACTTGTGGTCCACTGTGTCTGAACCCAAAATATTGTAATATGTATTGTATCTCTCTCTCCCTCCCTCACTCTCTCTCACACACACACACACACACACACACACACTTACTTTGGGTATAACGACTTTTGAAAAGATAAATAGCTGACTTTAGAAAGTCCAAAGTCAACTCCCAACAACATACATCATGAAAAGAAAAAAGATTTGCAACGAAAGGTTTCATACATTGTTACTATTGGAACAAAACACCAGCCACCACTTACATTGGCTCAAAATTTCACGTTGAACGGCCCAACAGAAACAGTCCTAAATGACTTTGAATTAAATCTTGTAGTATTAACTTACACTGACATTTAAAAAAGCTTTTTCTTTCACCTGTAAAAAGTTCCTTTTTTTGTCAGAGGTTTTGTTCTAACACTGAGAGGTCAGATGTGAAATGCTCAGTTCAAGTGAAACTTAATGAGTCAGAATTGTTTACAGTGGTAACCAGACATCTGATGAACAACAAAAAAACAAATCTAAAAATTACCTCACAGAAAGCTGCTACAAGAAATGGTACAAATGTGCTGCCTAATGCCTTTGTCAAGTGGTCAAGAGGTCTTCAAATTTCCTCAATATTACTTGTATGCGCTGGAACAAAATGTCATTTCTCTGGCCCATAGTGCAACACACAACAGCAGCACATTACACAGGACTACGTGCAGTGCAGATACACGACACTGCAATTATCGGCCTAAAACATTTTTTTAAAAACATACAGAAAGGAGCACGCAAGGTGTCAAAAAGCAAAATTTACTACTATTTTCCTAACACCACACTACATGTGAAACCTCAGAAGACATGTAGTTTCACTGCTCATTTTGGATTGTCAATGTAAATAAAATGACATTATAAATCCTGGTTCCCATCTCTCCCACTGTTTCTCTGCAATTCTCTACTTCACATCAAACCACCCTCAATGACTTTGTTTACATCTCAACAACTTAATTTTGAAAAACTGGCAGACTTCTCCTTTAATATGGGAATTTTTTTTTACATCAAAAATAAGAAGCCCTATGTATTATAGGCCAGTTAACCAAAAGACAGTGACCCTGATGTCATCCCTCCTAATGCAGCGTTTCTGCAAGTTGTTGCTCACTCTAGAGCTGAAGGTGTCACAGCAACCAGCTATAAGAAGCATGTAAACACCACAGTCACGGAAAGAGCAACGTGGCAGCCTTCCAAGAGAGAAACACTGTACATTCCAACAGCAACCAGCAGGGGGTAGTACAAGCTGTTTTTAGCAGATATTACCCAAGATACTGAAGGTTGGTTAGTGAATGCATTGCCAACCATGAATCCATGAACCAGAGTAAATATAAAGGAAAAACATCTTGATCTTACCTGAAGAGGTCCACTTCATGGATTGTAGGGAGCACGATAGACACAAGACTGTCGCTCTGCAACGGGTAACAGTGGATGGTTAGATATATAGAACTAAAGCTCTAGATCACAGTCATGGGTTTGGCAGCGCTAACATTCTTCTTACCGGTGTGGACAGCACAAGCTGCGAGGTTCCTGGCTTGTCGTAACATGTAGGAATACGTAGCTGAGAAAAACAGATGGTGCGGTTAATGAATTGATGTGTAGCAGTTAAAGACAAAAATAAAAAAGCAGTTAAAGAGTTACCTTCATGACTACACCCATGATTGGGAGAGATAATATCTTCCCTGGACTCGGCGTCGGCCACCGATCAATATCGTTGCAAGCTATTACCCATAAAAAACAAGAAAATACTGCCGTTAGTATAGCAACATGTCCATTAATACAGTCATCTGCTGTGCAGCAATTTTACCAGCTATACTGCAGAGGACAGTGAGGATATAACTGAGTTCTTGAAGTGGAAGTCCAGCAAACCTGTCTGTGTCGTCTAGCAAAGTTTTACTTGTTAGGTCTCCAGGTGTCATCTCTAATTTACTGTACTCACCAGCCTCTAAACAGGGCTCCTGTTTCTCAAAGTATTCTGGGGCAATGAGCTTCAGAAGCGAGTGGAAGAAGGTCACATAAGGTAGCTTGCTGATGAGAACCAGAGACTGTGGCCAAGAAAGACAAACACAACAAGAAAACTAATAATGAACAAGATATTCCTGATACTAGGCAGTAAAGTACAACCAAAACTAAACTCAACAACCTGTTACTCTATCAACCTGTTACTCCAGGCAAAAAAGCTGGCACTAGATGTAGAAAATCAATTATTATTAAAAAGGCAGTATTAGGTGTAGAAAATGTATTACTCAAAAAAAAAAAAAATAATAGCGCAAATGTCACTATCACAAGTATTTGATTTCCCTGGTTTTCCACACCTAGCCCAGGCAGGTCAAACAGGGGACCGTCCAGGCCAAAGTTCTGTTTAGATCAGTGTTTACTCTCATCTAACGCTCTGAATTCAGTTCATGAACGCCTTACTAATTAGCTGATGAGCTGAATCAGGTGTGTTTAATGAGGCACCGTGCTGAAGTCTGCAGTCTTTTAGCTTTTTTTTTTGAGTAACAGTTGATTTCCTACATCTAGCACCGTTTTTCTACACCTAGCACCAGCTTTTTTGAGCAGTAGTTGATTTTCTACATTTAGCACTACTCAATAAAGTGCAGAAAATCAACTATTATTAAATTTAAATAAAGAAAAACAGCACTAGCTTTAGAAAACAACTATTGCTTAGAAAAAAAATACCAGCTCTAGATATAGAAAATAAACTGTTACTCAAAAACAAAGCTAGCACTAAGTGTAAAAATAATATATATAATATATGTAACTCAAAAAAGCTAACACTGGGTATAGAAGATTTACAATTAGTCCAAAAAAGCTAGTGCTAGTTGTTTTTTTTAAAAAAAAAAGAGAGGTAGCAACAAATAGGAAGGTCTACTGTCCAGTTTTAATCTGAGAAAAAGACGCAGAGCTGAGTCTGATCATGTCAAGCCCAGCCATGTTTCAGTTGACAAGTGAATTCCATTGCTTGTGGTTTATCCTAATCTGAACCACTGATCTCAGCCTGGAGGTTACATAACAACCACTTACACTACTGCAGAGACCTCATAGTAGGAAAACTAATTACTGTTGTATCATATGGGTGACTCAACACGAGTTCTTCCAGGAGAATCGTCTTCCACGACCCCCGTACTTTGTCTGCCCTCAGTGTTTCTATTCTCAGGGTGTGAATAACCTTGACTAGCGATGGACTAGAATTGCACTCCTACTCCAAGTCATCTTAATGTGTGGAGAGATGACACTGATGAAAAGCAGCGACGTGGCACTTTCATGCGCTGTTGAGACTTGCTTTACGCTGCACTTCAACTGTGGATCTTGGCTTCGGGGCAGACTGAGGTTTCTCAAGGGTAGGAACTGCAAAACTGTCATGGAACTGAACATGATGAGTCAAGGCTGACCGAGAGATTGGTGGCCCTTCTGTTTTACAGTAGCTTTAATACAGCTCAACTGTAACTTCCCTGTGTAAACGTGAAAGCCCACACTGCCCGTCAAAAGATCAGGGACAGCTACCGTTCCACAATTTTGTGGAAGTGTTTAGACGCCCCTTCTAATGAGTGAATTCAGCTGCTTTAAGATGCATAAATTGCTGACATATGCATTCATACAGCTTGAATAATTTTCATAGAAAAGCAGTGTATACAGAATGGGATGCTCTGGAGTGCCCTAGTGTAAAATCTGCTCTTCATACCAAGGAAGACACTTTAACAAACAAAAAGCTGAGCGTTGAAATATGTACTATATATCTTGTGCACTATTTTAGTGAAGAAGTCAAAATTTCATGACTCACACTGTGCGCTACACAGCTGATAGGAGCCATCTGAGATTCAGAATGAGACAGACTTATTAAATAAGTGGGATCAAAACCTGCAGCCACACTGGCCCTTCATGGATAAGACTGGTCTCCCCTGCCCTAAAAAGTGTTTTTATAAAAATAAATAATTAAAAGCCACTTCAGCTCACCTTCTGAAAGTAACCCCTCTTCAGCGATTTATCTCGAACCTGCCTGAAGTAGACGTAACCGTAGAAATGTCCCTGGTCTTTCTAAAAGCCACAAAAGAGAAATCACATTTCAGTCAAATATCATCCAAAACAAATTTCCCACCCTTAAATGACTTACACATGTTCAAGGAATAGTTGGTAATAGTTGATATAGTAAAAATCTCCACAATTTCCACCTTACACTAAAAGTAGGCAACTGATAAGGCAAGTTAACTATGACTGTGCGAACTCTTAAACTCCTAAAAAACAACCTAACTAAATAATCACACTGTTGAGTTGTTAGCGCTGAATGACAATGCTTTCTATAAAAATGGGATGCTTTCATTCTTTATACTACAAATCTGCAATTTCATAACAAAAAAAAAAATTGTATGATTTATAGCCTTCCATCCTTCATCTTCCTAAGCAACCAGTTGGAGCACATGTGTTTGTTTTCGCAGAAACATTTTTTGCTTCCTCTGCTCCCTGACCTTGAGGCAGACCGGCGCATCTCTGTCAAAGTGGTCCAGAAAACATCCTAGCGACGACTTCCTGCCCGCCGCTTGCCGGAAACGGAAGCAGAACTGCGTGTCCCCCAGGCAACCTGGGAGCAGGAAGAGGAAAGGGGAAACACATGGAGTCATCGGTCACAAACATCTGCGGAATGCCACAACTCAAACAGGCATAGCGAAACATTTTTCCCTTTGTACACACGAGTCCATTGAGCTGGTTTGTGGGAAAGGAGCAGCTATTTGTGGCTGACGGCAGCCACAACAAAGTTTATCTTGCATATCCCATAATATTTATAACACAAACAGAAGTAGGTTTGGTGAACACGATACTTGTACATTTGCTTGTGCTCACACACGGGGACGGTAATGTTGGTTGACAAGGTCTGTAGTAAGCTATGAAAATGAAACAATACAGATAATTTATTATAATGTGGTTCTAGTGTAAAACTATGATTACCATGTTGAAATAACATTTAGTATGATAACAGTATGATGACTAGCTTGTTAAAAAGAACTAAAACAAACAAACAAAAACTCATTGGACTGTCTGAACAGGACTGTTTGGGTGTGTCAGACCACAAGGTGATTGACAGCACTGTAGCCATGGCAACATAAGCAAACCCACAACACTGGGGTTAGGGTTAACCTTAGAGGTGTAAAAATACAATGTATCGCACTGCATCACAATGTCGTAACGTATTGCTGTATCGTGGCTACATGTTAACATATTAGTTCTGCGCTTTTTTCCTTTAAGGCTACACTTGGGCAGCCTCCCAAGTTTATTAATAGCCAAGCATATTTTGTTCCATTTTAACAAACTCCAAAATATTTTTGATTTTATATTGCTATGTATGAACAAGGGCACGCTTTACGTACCATGAGATGCAATATTAGCTTTTTGCATTTCAACACTGCTATAGTCCAGCGCTGCATTTACATTACAAAACTACAAGATAATACACAACTTACTAGGGCTCAACTTAAGAGACTTTTGGTAGCATTAGTGGATGAAGAGGAAAAAAAAAAAAATCACCCTAATTCTGATTGGTATGCAGTAAAAATGGTAAATTAGTTGGTAAATTGGTAAATATTATTCTTTATTTGAGAGTCAATGGTAATTTCAAGTAGGACCCTATAGATAACTGCAAAAAGCAGCTTAAGAAAATAAGCTAACACCTACTTTGAAGGTAATCGAGCAAGTAAAATACAGACCAACAAAACACTAATCATCTGATTGTCGAACCAGAGAACAGAGCAGTCCCTGCGGTGCTCAGCCACTCCTACATTCCAGCACCACAGCTCATGAAGAATCTCGGAGTAGGAGTGCAGATATCAGGTCTGATTTTGTAACTAAAAACACCAAAAATCAAGAGTTCTAAAAGTCAGAAAGTCTTTATTAATACAGGCTTGGGTTTTAGCCTGTAGCCTAAGCTGTAGAGGTCAAAATGTCCATTTCATTCCAGGTCCATTTCTTCTGCCCTTCTGATTCTGAGCTCCAGGTTGTTCCTTTCTGGCAGAATTCTATTCAGAGACGTCAAACTAATGTGTAGGCAAACAGTCGAGAGCAGGGTAGGTGTATGTGTGTGTGCGTGTGTGCGCAAGGAGAGGGATTACTGGGTCAGTCTTCAGGGCGTGACAGATGGATTACCTCATCTTCCTGGTTAACTCTTTCGACAACACTAGGGTGGTCTATAAAAAGCAGCATTTACACAACGTCCGCAGTCTAATCCTATTGGATGCAGCTAAGAGAGAGAGAACAGCTTCCTACGCAAGACCCATCTACAGTTATGTCTGTTAAGAAGTGATCTATAAACAATCCCCAGTCCTGGCTATGGCAACAGTGTACTGCTATGAGGAGGCCTAAGAGGGATCCTTTTAGAGTGTGTACACCATGCACCATCCTGACTGAGCAAGAAGAAATGCTGAGTCCTCTGGACGGAAATCAAGAACAAGAACAAAAACTGTACATCTGTAATTTCAAGAGAAATCTATCTTCTTATATACACCTTAGGTAAATTTGTCTGTCCTATGCTCTGGCCACAAATGCATTCTTTCATAACAACTGCAGCTAGGTTCAACAACAGCTAGGTACACAACATTGGTGCATTCAGCCTAACGAGAAATTGTCTAGAGTGGCTCAGTTTTTCCTTAAATTACATTTAAATGCCTTATTAATTTCCATTGATATTTATTTTGAATGCATGTGAAAGGTCACACAGTTCGTTTTTTTGTTTATGTAATCACACTAATGTTAGCATGATGGTAATTCCGATGCTGTCAATTCAAATCTACCTAGTTCTCATTAGCTAAAACTAGGGCTGTAACAATACAACATATTGCTGTTGACTGAACAAAACCTCAGATCTCCAAAAGTCAATGGAACCAGAAGGATTTCCAAGTAATTTCGGGCTGTTTCTTTTAGTCCATTCACCATGAAATTTACATACAATGAGCGACAGGCATTTTCAGATTATGTCAAAAACTGAAAAACAACAAAAATTGACATATGAGGTTTTCTTCCTACAGCAGTGATATGTTGTATCGAATTGTATTTCAGCATATTGCATTGCATCATTGTGGCATGATGAGCATGTTAGCTTTGTGGCTAGTGTGTTAGCCTGGGGCTAGAGCTTTAGATTGGTGCATCTTAAAGATCAGCTTTTGGTTTAAATATTGTACTTTCACAATGTTGAATAATAATAATTTAAACATTCACATATTATGTTAGTAATAGAAATCTGACAAATTAAGCATTAATATAGTAACATTAATGTAGGCACATTTTCAGCCACGTCTTATTTGTGCTGTATGATAAAAATCTACTGATTTGAGACATAACTGTGCTGTGTCAAACCAAATTCTGAATTTTGTGAATTGTTACATCCCTAGCGACAATCAGTAGCATAGCACTTTAAACCAGAAAGCCAACGTTATGTAACCTATGCGTATACCGTTTCTCATTAGGTTGAGTAAGATTTTGGCACCGTGCTGTAAACTTGTGACAAAATTTGTTCATCAGTGGGCGGAGCGTAGGCCATTTACAACTGAACTGGCACAAAATGAGACATAAAATTGGGAACAAAATATCACAGAATTACCAGCTTACAGACAATCTATTGAGAATATGCAGAGTGAGTCAGCATATTTATTGACGCAATGAAATATGTCTGTGCCGCGAGCACAAAATCTCTTGCAGCTTTTGCGCTTTCGAGAAAGAAAAACACAACTCGAGCACATGGCCCGAAAACCTATGAGACACCACCGCCTGAGTCAGACTTATTACACATCTTGAACCCATAAGAAAGACCGGTTTGCTTTTGGCTGCCCTCTCCGCTCCCTGCTCAGATCCATCTCCGTATCAACGCAGAAAGCAAGCGGAGGGTAATGTGCCACAGCAGCAGCACAGAGGCACACTTCTTCAGATCCGCTGGTGGCAAGAACTCAGTTGCCATGGCGACCTGCATGCCTTTCCATCGACATAAGCGTGCTGCCTCACCCACGCCGTGCTAGCGACAGAGCTAATGTACACCAGTGTTTCCATACGTCCTTCCAGGCCCACCCAGGAGGCCGTTTCCCAACAGACACTCGATCAAAGAAACAGTTATTAGATCTAGGAAAGCACTTTGGCTTATATGACAGAAAAGAACAACAATAAAAACAGAAGAATAAAGCCAAAATGGGCCATATTCTACATTGGTCTTCCATTTTTTGTTTGTCCCAAAAGTCCACTTATAACATTTGTTCGGTTTCATGCAGTAAAATGACAGTCATCATTCATTTTACAAACTGTATCCCTTGGAATTGATCAGGCTGTTGCTTACTGTGCTTTTAGCCTTGATATGCAAATGACCTCAGCTTTGATTGACTGCCCTGTATTGTGTCCCGTCCAAAAAGCAGTCCAAGCAGAAATACAGACCAAACTTCAGACTGAAATTCTCAGGGCTGTGACAAAAAAAATGAACTTCAGCCACTCCTTTTGTGCTCTAAAAGGCTGCAGTGATCCATCTGTTTCCTGACAGCCAGGAACAGCACAACATTTAATAATTTTCTCCACACCTTCAGCTTCAATAACGTGGCTACAGACTGTCTGCAACTGTTAACAACACTCTGTACCACTTCAGTGTGAATGGGTGGTATATAAATGGTTGTGACATCACAAGTTCAAAACTTTAACAATGTTTATCAGTAAATTAAACGCTTATATTAAAAAAAAAATACTCATGAATAGGGCTCTTAGTAAACTTAGTAGGGAGTTTACATAGTGTCTTGATATTCTTTGTGGATCTTCAATAAGATGCTGAACCATCACTTAACATGGTTACAAGAGGTCAAACTGCTTGTAGATCAGGAGTGTCCAGTTCTGTTTTTTCCCCCTAGGGTTGTGAGACTATGTGCTGACAACTGAATAATTACTGGTACAAATTTTATGCTATAAAAATGGTCAGACATACTGACAAACTGCAATGATGTCCACTGCTCCTGCATTATATTCCTAAAAGAGAAACGTATGGGGAAAAAAATAACTTGAGCTACATCCAAAACCATTTATATTTTGTCTGCATTTAAAGTTATTGTGTAAGAAAATTACTTGTTTCCACTGCTCAGTCTTGTTTTTGTATTTGGACTGACTGAAAAAACAAAAGCAAAATATCTTTATCCAGTTTACAGGGACGACGCACATTACTAGACACTTCTACTACTGTGCCAGTTTAGCCATTTTAGACTGCTCTCACTGGGCAGGTACGAAAAGACAAAAGCACTAACCAGGTGCTTACAACATGAATAATGCATGCAGCAATATAAGACAACAATGGCAACTAGTAAAATGATTTATACACTAGGATCACATTCTTGATTGGTATTTAGCCACAATTTTAAATTAGCTGAAAAGAAAAGAGCGAAAAGAAGGCCAAGCTCATTCCAAGCGTGAGCTACTCTTGTGTATTGCAACCCCACTACTAACTATGGAGTTGAATCAAGTATAAATGCCAAACTGTACTGGACTAAAGCCCTACAGGACGAGAGCTGGATTGTGGACGCTGTGTAATTTCTAATTACTTACGCAATTTTATGCTTGAAACATCTTTTGATGTATCTTTACTTTGCCCCCTGCTTCAAGACTTGGCCTACATGCTTAACCGTGCTTTTGTCTTATGTTTCCTTTTAACAATTCCAAAATGCTAAGAGTAACGGCGTAGAGCATCCCCAAGAACGCTCCATTATCGTATTTCAGTAAGATGAGAGGAGGATCAATATGACACAGAGGAGGCTGGGGAACACCGTGGATAACTACAACGCAAGGTTTACAGTTCCAAGCACAGATATCAGCACCTATTCATTAATGAGGTTAGGCTCTATACTACACTACCCACTATACAAACACACTATGGCTCATGTAGTCAGTGTGTATATTTACTCAAATAATAACTGCTGGTTATTTGTGACTGTAAAATCCTACTGCTTAAACACCAATATCCTACAATAGGGCTGGACCACGCAGCATACAAATAGACATAAAATGCTATGTCATTACACAGTAGGTGGATTTTTGACCTCCAAGGTATAAAGTACCCTCAAAGGTGCAACACAGTCCTTAAGGTGGGCATTTTAAATTAGTTTTAAAGGTACAGTACACTCACTTTCTCAGGGGGGAAACTGGCATATCTTCGAATAGCTTCTAATCTTTCCTTTATTAACCAGAAAATTATAAGAAAAACTCAAGTTAAGAGAGGAGTCAATGCAACAACAGAATGTGGTACCATTACATTCCCTAAATAAAGGTACTGTGGCCACAGTGGCCATGCTTGTATACTGACAAATATTTTTTTTCTGAGTGTAGGATATTGTAGCAAAATGTTCTTATATTTAATGTACGTTAAATGTGACTAGCTTTTATTCCAGGCATGTTCGGCACCATTTCTATTGGTCTATTCATCATTAAACACTATTTTGATGGCAGCTAGTGTTTTCAAATGGTGTCAAGACCTAAAATTTAACACCAAGGGGTTATGAGGTTTTGATATCACATGGACCATACATTACATACACATACATTTCTGAAGGTGGGTTGCTGTATTTTTAAAATCAAATTCAATGCTTTTTCATGTTGTTTAAAGACCTCAACAATAGAAAACAACAACACTTTAACTGCACAACAAACCAATATGGCATGTATTAATGTCCATTATATTCAAACAAATTGGTTGAAAATCAAAGATGTACACATTCACTTGCCTTGTTTGACTTTGTTCTCAGTTTTGCCATCCTCTAGCCTTTCATTAGTTAGCAGTTTCTGACCACTTCTGGCTGAATTAGGTTAATATATATGAGAACACTTTTCAACCCAGTCTTTAGGCATCATCTTATAACCCAGTACTTCTAGTAAAATATAAGATTTTTAGATATTTTATGCCCTTTTTTTATTTAAGACTTTAAGATCTTTTAAGTATTCATGGGAACCCTGTTAAATGGATTTAAGGATGTACAAACAGATGCTGTGCTTTGAAAACCCCATTTAACAAACACAATCGATAGAACAAATGTAAGTCAGAAGCTTTCATTTAATAACAACAGCTAATTAATTATGAACCAGTAGCCTCTTCAACACAACCGCCATTCATTATAAATAATCTATGCTTGAGAGGATGAGGCATACATAGACTACAGTGTTGGTGACCTTCATTAAAGGTAAGCTATTCAGTATGACATGGCGTCTCAATACAATACATGTCAATGCAGAAATTATAAGGAGAGCCTAAAGATGTGCTTTCTGTTAACATATAAATGTTTCCATTTTAGCTTATTAGATCTTCAATGTTGTACAATATTTTATAATATGTATTGATTTACGCTTACAAGAAGTATGCTTTTTCTTCCTAAAACTGACCTAAATGTAAAGAAGAAGAGGAGGGAGGGTCTACCCTCACTGTCGGCTTGCTTGTTTAGTTTTTATTACAGTTCAAGCAATATAAGCAGTATTAAAATAAGCACTTTATTTGCTCCAGCCTGCTGAACGCATTGTTCAAAGACAATGTATTTGTAATGAATTGAGAGGCTCGTATTGAGCGATACAATTTAATGCACTGAAAGGCAGAAAGGCAGTTCTGTACTAGAGAATTAGTTGGCCTGGTACCCAAACATGATCTTACACAGACTGAACAGATCACTGGACTTTGATACTATTACATCTGTCATGAAGCATCAAGGTTTAAAAGTCATGCTACTATTATGTTACCTATGAGATAAACAGTCGTTAATTCAGCACAGCCAAATAGACACTCTTCCCAATACTTTCTGGTTTGCTTTGTAGCAGCATATTAAAAAATAAATAGTCGCCAGCGATATGATGGATTTCAAGTGACTTTTAATCACATTTTACATTTTTCCATTTCCGAAGCAATCATTTTATAGCAGCTTATCACTGCAATGAATCCAAATTGTTATGAGTTATTAACTGATTGACTGACTGATATCCTTAAATGTATCCCATTATCAGTAGGGACATTACGACAATGGTCAGGCAAATGTATTACATTATCAATGTAATCACATCAAATGACTACATAATGATTAATTCATAAGTAAGCGAGTACATTACTGATCATAACACAGCCTAGTCTTTTAAACTGGAAAATAACGCAATTGTTTTTAGGGCGCACTGATCATTCAGTCCAGACCTCTCCAAATAAACACTTACCAATTAACATTAACAAATTAACAATTACTTCTTGACTGATTTATTGATCTGCTCCTGTAAATAGCAATCATTAAAGTTGGCTACATAGAGACATGCTCAATGAAGGTGTCTGGTGTTTTAAAACTGGCTAAGACCGAATGTATATCAGTAGGCTAACCACAAACAAGCCAATGTCATCTGAAAAGTAAGCCAAAGGTCGCCATGAAACGAATGAAATGAAACTTCATTAACCTTTCATCTATCAACAAGGAGAGGTGAGCAACATGGCAGACATATAATGATGTTTTTCAGATATTTTCATGATAAACAATAAGCATCACAATGTTTTATGTTTTTTCTGAGGTTTAATAAGTTGGAACAAACCAACAATAAGCAGTGTTTTTACAGTTAATAAATGCTATGAAAAACTGAACACAAGATAAAAATATTTTTATTTAGAGTCGCACATTCTGAATTCAATTAATGGGGCCTAATTATGCTCTCAGTGCTCTTTAAGATATCCACAATATGCTTAGAAATGCACCTTGTGATGTTATGTGATGTCATTTATCACAATAACAATGAATATCATAATTTTGCCCATGCTTACAAACAAAGGCACTAACTTTAGGAACTGCATTCACAATTAACAAGAGAATTCTTAAACTTTCAGGGTAGTCTGCATCTGTTCAGCTCTGCTGAGATTGCTGGGCTTATCATGAGCAACGCTGACGACTAGCAATGCTAACTAATGCCATGTTCTCACTACATAATTTCAGCGTGATTTTCCACTCGCTGACAGTTTTTGGTGATTATTGAGAGAAGCCCCAGATCAGAAGCAAACTGCCGGCTCACAAATCGGCTCTCGATCTCTATATGTGAATTATTCAAAGACACCATCCAAGAGATCCACCGAAGCCTCAAAGACGCCCAAAGGACATCAAGCAGGCTAAATATCTGGTCCTGTCAGGGAGTCCAAATCCCATAGTGTGAAAAGTGTTGTGACCCAGTTGTTACTGGTAGTGAGTGTAGTGACAAGCTACAGCCAATGAGAGCGCAAGACATGGGGGTGAGGGGAAACCTGGAGGGGGGGTTGGCAGCATCAACAAGCATGGCTACAACAAAGGTTCTTACACCGATATTCTTTCCTTTTTTTTCTTTGTTTTTTTTCATAAGCGCAACTTCTTGTTGACATCCATTTGCTCTTGTGACACAACTTAGCTGGAGACCAGACAGACTCGTCTAAGATTCCTGCCAGTGAAAGACCTTGTAATGTGTGACCGCCTGTAAGTGATCAGTCATGTACTGCGCAAACCACAACTTCAGAATTCCACAAAACAGCAAGCAGTCTAGTGTGAACTGTACAGCGGTCTGACGACTTTGAATGTAGTGTGTCAGTGGCTTAGGCTAAATGTCTGAAGCCCCAGCAGAACTGTAAGGTATAGTCAGTCCTGAACCATCCTAGAGTCACCAGTGAGGCAGCTTTGGGATATTTGCACACTTTACAGGAGGAGACATACAACAAAACAAAGAAATTTTTATATCAGAAGATTTTCGCTTACCTGAGTTGGAGTCTGGGAATGACAGGTAGCAGATGCTTGTTTTCTGAAATGTGAAAGGAATTGGGAAACTTGTCATGCAAATAGGTATGTAATTATACACACATTTTTCAGGTTTGATCTGACTCTGAGGTCAAGATTCAGTTTGATTTTCTATATGGTTTTTGTGTTTAAAACATCTTGATTATATGGAGCTCTAATTATACACAATAAAGACTTTATATCATACAGGTTTAGCACAAATACAACATAATGTAAAGGATTCAGTGACTCAAAAGTCCAGTTATTTGAAAGTGGGTGCATGTACAGCACAAGCTACCCTCTCAGTCCACTGATAAGACGCACCCAGATGCCTAGTTTTGACAGGCATAAACCTCTGAAGTCAAACATGCCTCTGCCTGTAGTAAACAAAAATGCTCTGATGTTGATGCGATTTGTCCTTTGTACATTTTTCCCTCTGAAAGGTCCATTAAGGTACACAAAATACAAATTTTGATACAAGCTAACACTGCAGCATAATGTATTGACATTATAAGACTGGTAACTCCTGAAAGTGTGCAGTGAGGCAGCTGCCAAAAGGTACTGGTCTGCAATAGCCAACAGTTTGAGTAGCTGGTCTTGCTATAAAATGGACTTGAAATACAGTCTAAGACTTCCTTTCATGTAAAGTCATTTCAACACGCAGGAGTACTAGCTTGCTTATGGCATGACCACAGCAATATTTGTATTCTGACTACTTATCAAGGTCATAATAGAGGGGATTCAGTGTTATTAAGGGGAAACGAAGATACACAGAATAAAATGTATCAGCTTTGTAATATTTTGTTTTACCACAGGTCGCCTTGAGGCTCCATGTTAAAGAAGCAAAATTCAGAAACCATACATGTCTTCGCTGATCAAGCACATTGGGGGTAAAGGTGAAACTGAAAAACACAATTAAGAAATAGAAATTTGACCTACCTCTTTTTCTGTGAGCTTTGAATGATGAGGGTATATAACCTGCAAAAGATCAAAATTAGGAGACCAATAAGACTCAAAAATGTAAAAGGTGTTACTATCTTATCCTTGAAGAGTTATGGAACATCATCACGTATGACATAGACATGAGAACTGACTGCTTCATTGTTCAAAGCCGTCTGGGTCGTCCATAGTTCGATGGACTTAAACCTGTGTTGTTAAAAGTCTATTTAACTGAAACTGCCAATTCCAAGCTATTCACCCGTCCTCAGCAGACAGCAGAAAAGGCATTTCCCATTACTTGTCACATCTGTATCTGCTTTTTGAGTCCTGGTTTTGTCTGAGTGCTTGCTTTAGAACAGTTTCTGACTTTACTAATACAAATGCCTTTACCTACATTTCAGCTAAGTGAATTTTTGTACTGCTCTAACCAAGTCCATACAGCCCATACATGCAAACTAAGCTGCAAAAACAGCCTGTGGTGAATTAACTGCTTTCTTGATGCCATGAAAACCAGCATATTTACATATATTCACCTATGTGACCTAGAGCAGTTTAGCCCCGTTTATTCACATTGATGTTATAAGGAGAGTTTTAGACCAGACTGCTTTCTGCATGAGGCTAAACGCAGACCAGCCATTCAGAACAGAGGTCATTTTACAAACATCAGCCCTAAAGGCACGGTGGCAAAATCCGTTTAAGAGAAAATGAAAGGTTGGCAAATTATCACGTACAAATTAATCAAATATTTTGATAAACTAACCCAAATTAATGTATTCCGAAGAAGACTTTAATAAAAAAAAATAGAATATGTACTCTTTAAGTCAGTTGATAGTGACTTGACTCTGAGTTGTTTACAAGCTCTACGAGGACCAAATGACATGAGGATGACTGAAAACACGAGCATGCTGACATTGTTGTGTCTGCCTGGCCTACAGGAGGAACAGTACTTGATTTCATTTATATCAAGCTTTTTTGGGATAAAAAGTAAGAGACCAAAGCTTTTCTTTTGATTCCTGAAATTAAGTTTATGGTTGGGCTTTGTGTACCACAACAGCATTTAGCTACAATAACACAGAAATGACAATACCCCACAAAGACAGGAATACAAACTTGTGTGTGTGTGTTTGTTTTCGCTAACGCAGCTAAGCTAACATAAAGAAGGCTATGGTAAAGGACAACATTACCTAACTAACAGCAGCCGATACGCACTGCCACAGAGATTTTTATTAACACAGTGTCTGTTAATGCTGCTGAAGGTCTGCTAGTTGGTTAGCGTTAGCTGTCTAGTGTCCAGTTATGGGTTCAGCTAGCCTGCTAACCAGGCCACTGACCGAGGCACGTATGGTTACAGCTTGGTAGACACTGTATGCTTAAATAATTTAGCTATATTGCAATGTAAATGTGGCTACCTCCACCGCCTGTCCGAGCTCTAGGTCGAATCCCACCACACAGATGCAGTGCAGCCAGGCGGAGAATCGGTCCCACGGTAGCAGCAGCTGCTCCGGTTCTTCCTCTCCAGGCCCGTCGGCGGGCATTTCCTCGGCCGGGGACACTCTCAGCTCCCGGTCCTCTGAGTGTTCTGCTTCTTCCATTTGCTCCTCGACCTCCTCTGACCCTCGCAAGGCCATAGTCGAAGACCAAACCGCTTCTCCGTTCGCCTCAACTTCAGGGGCTAAACTAACTTAGCCAACTATCGCCGCGGACCGTATTCCGGATAGACGGTACGCTACATCCGTGGGACGCGGGTAACGTAGCAACGTAGGTTTCACATTGTTCTGCGCAGACTTCGCTGATCTCCAAAACATTACGTTCCGGTCTGAGACTTTGCACATAGTTTGTAGATCACGTAATTGCCACAAACTCGCTTTTAATTCGTTTTTGCTTAACAGTGTAAAACGCACATGCCAAGAGATTTAAAAAAGGGCAAAATATATCTTATAGGAAATGTGCATTTGTATTTGCAGAATTATGATAAATTAATTTACAATAAAGTTGACGTGTTTAGGCAAACGCTGCGTCACCACAGGGCACATGAATAATTGTATAGTTTTATGTTTTTTTTTATTCTGGTAAACCTGAATAAAAATTACAGTGAAAGGATCGGATCAGCTCTGCTGTCTCTTTTTGCTTTTTTAGTTGGCTCCGCCTCCGTTTTAATAAGGGAGTCTGCTATTGGTTGAAAAGAGTCTTTTAAATTTTAAATTTGTTGCCCTGCCCACCTTTATAATTTATCAATTAAAAAAGCAATATACCTTTAATATCCCTCATACAACACTGAGACGGCGATGGCAACAAGAGTTAAAAGATCATTTCAACGGTAGCATTCAAAAACGTTATACACTTGCATTGCATTTTCCCCACTGAAACACATGGCAGTCGTTTTGCTCATTCTTTTTAAGATGCATTTTTAAAATACAATAATATGAGCAAATACGAGAGCAATTATAAAGAATCTGTAAATATATTAATAATAATAACAATCTAATAATAGTAATAGCAATAATAATAATAAGAAGAAGAGTCTTTAATGTATAACAAAATTATACAATCTGACCTATCTGCATGTAAATGCAGTTCACTGAAATGTACACACAAATGAAGTTTAAAACTGATGAATGTTTAGGCTGTAGTGTAATGATACATGTCCTGCATAAACTGTATATAGGCACATTAACGAACAAACATTTGAATTTGTTTTGTTAGTCTTTACAGGTATTTACATAAATATATATGCTTGTAATGACCAAATCCTTGATGTATATGGACACTATAATGCATGCAGACAAATCTGAGCCATTTCATTGCTTCAGTAGTGGAACTGCATTGTCCTGAATATCACAACTGAATCATCCTATAAATCTAATAAGACCCACCAAACAAATAGGATTAGACTGTCTAAGACATTAAGAGTCCTGTATGCTCTGCTGGGTATGACAGATGTTCTGGGTAACCCACAATCCCACGTGTGAAATGAGCACTGGGTTTCTCTCCTCAAAGGGGAGTTCCACTGAATTTTCAAATTCATGCATGGTTAAATGGTTAAGATGTAAACAAAGTTGTTCTGAGGGGTTTGGTGTGAAATGCTCTGATCTAGAGAGTCTTACTGAGCCAGGATTGTTCACAGTGGTGGTGATAGGAACCAGGCGTCTACAGCATTTGATGCCTCTAAAAGCTCCTTAACAAAAAGTTATTATACAAAATGTTTACAAATATGTTGGCTGATGCCTGAGAAATTGTTTTACAACAGTTTTGACCTCAGGTTTTGGCCTTAAATGTACATTGGTAGAGGAAGGCCTACATGTAGGGACTTAATAAGGGGCAAAATAGACCCCAAATTAAACTTATTTTTCAGATTTACCAATATTTTATCATTATAAACATTACATATGAAAACTTAACAAAACACATGTAGGTTCACTGGATTGTAAATAAGATGGCTGTAAATGCATTGTAAAGGTTGCGACCCCCGGTTCCTATCACCACCATTGTAAAGAAATTTGAGTCTATAAATTTTTCCACTATGCATCCTTTCACAAACCAGCATTAATGTTACTTTGATGTGAAACAATCATGTTCCAACTCAAACATCTTTCCTGCTTCTAACAACAATCTTACCTCAGCAAATCACAACTCTGCTTAGTTTATGCACATGTGCGTATAAGCATGTGCATGCTTTGTAACGATGCATGTAATACATTTTTGATTACCATTCTAGCTACAGCTTGTCTGTCTTAAGAAAAGCTGTAGGGCTTTCCATAGTCTCTACCATTTCTATAGTAAGGGCAAGAAAAGCATGCATCAACACTTCAGCATCTTGCAGAGTGAAGTAAACAAGAAGGAGACAGAACAAATAACATCGGATTCCTCTCAAATGGTTTAATTTGTGAAGTCCTTTGGCTTTCTGTGCAGCACAGCTTTTTTCTGACACTTTGTGCGCTAAGCAGAAAGTAAATAGAGAAAGATAAGATAGTGTATGTGTCCAAAAGTTTGTAGGCACCTGCTTATCCAGCGTTTCTACTGTGAAATCAAGGGTATAAAAAGGGAGTTTGTCTCTTCTTTGCTGCAGTAAGAGCCCCTACTCTTGCGGTAAGGCTTTACACTATATGTTGGAACATTGCTGTGAGGAAGTAATTGCATTCAGCCACAAGCAGTGAGGTCAGGTGCAGATGTTGGATTATTAGTTCTGGATCATTTCAATCCACTATATTCCAGAGAATGCGGTTCCACTGCTCCACAGCTTAATGCTGGGGTGCTTTAAACCCCTCTAGGTGTACACCTGGCATCAGACACCTGGAATTGGGCATGGTGACCTAGGCCTAAACCTCTGCATAAACAGTTCAAAGCATATTAAATTCTAGTTATTTAATGGAAGATTATAAGAATGTCATAATTTGCAACACATTTCTTTTGGAGTCTTAGGTAAATAACGTTTCGGCAAACTTTCCTCAAAAAGGCTGCTCACTGTGTGACACACAGTGGGCAGAGGAAAGTGACCCATCACAGGACCTCATTTACAATTCTAAATTTGAGGCACGGCATTGGTTAACTCTGCCGTCAGATCTGCTCTGCGATTGGATGTTTTTAGCGTCACCGCTCACTTCCCGCCCACTCGCTCTCGTCTTTGCGAGCCCCGCCGGTTTGTATATTCCACTCCAGTATGGCGGCGGCGAGTTGCGGAGGAGGATAACTTAGTCTAAATAGTCCCTGATATAAACTCGGGTCGACTGGAGCACTTTATTCACCCGGCTTAGCCTCTCCAGGAAGCGGAGCCTCCGATGAAAGCCGTGGCTCAGGCTACGCGGTGTCGAAAAGGGTCAGAAACTTGTGTTCCGTGTCTTCTAGCATCTTGTGCTAGGCTAGGCTAGTTCCGAAGCTAACGCGGCTAAGCTAGCGGGCTACGGGATCCACTGCGCAAACTTTATGACTTAAAGGATACAGGTTACGTTACAGCACACCGCTCGCAGGAGTCGACGGCTGGGATATTAAGGTTACTCTTTTCGTAAAAAAACAGGCTCGGTGAAACAAAGCGAACCTCTACCTCGCAAGCTAACTCGGCTTGTCTCTCTGTATCTCGTTAGCAGACCAAGTTTCGGACGTTAGAGCGAAGCTAGCGAGCTGACGCTTTAGCTGCCATGAAGACCAAAAACACTTTATTCCGTACGTATGGCTGATCAGTCAGTCGCATTAGCTGTGCTCGGCTGGAAGTCTTAAGGTTAATAATCATGTTTTTGAGGCTCATTTTATGACTAAACAGTGTGTAGCTAGCTGCCTGTCCGTCTTGTGTGGGGAGTGGTGCAGCGTTGTTTTGTGGGGTCTGGTTAACTGATAAATTACTCAAGTTTAGCCACCTTTAATTGGCCTTAACCCCTGTTGGCTGGTGCGTGTCTTCTCATTAATGTACTTGAATAATTTGTGCTCAAATCGACGTGTTTAGCCCACAGTCCGTGAAAGCGCTTTACGGCTAATAAGGCGACTGTTGTTGGTTAGCAAAGGTGTCGCTGAGATTCTGAGGTCCACTGATCCCAACAGGTCCCCAGTTACCGGCCAGTTTAAACTCCGGATTTGGAACGGATTTGATGTGTTTGGACTTTTGGATGTTGGAAACTTTTTGTGCGAAGCGAGTCGTGGCTTGACATTGGAAGCTAAGGCGATGCATTTGTATGTCCGGGTGGAGGTGCAGTCCTACATCGCCTTGGGTTTTGTTTGACATCATGGTGGATTTGCGAGACGGGGGGGAAAAAAGGGGCTTGTAGTGTCTAAATAAGGTCTTCTTTTGGACATTATGTAGCCGGTTTGGAAGTATGTGCATGTGTCTGTGTTCCACGAGCCAAACACGACATCGACTGTTTCCCTAAAAGATAGGAAAGTGGAAGGTTTGCCATTCTGGATCAAGAAGCCCTGCCTTTCGTCTCTGGTTGGAGTAGCACTCCCAAGCCGTCGTCGTCATCCATGCCTTCAGCGCTGGCCATCTTCACCTGCCGCCCGAACTCGCACCCGTTTCAGGAGCGCCATGTCTACCTGGACGAGCCCGTCAAGATCGGGCGGTCGGTGGCCCGCTGTCGCCCTGCCCAGAACAACGCCACTTTCGACTGCAAGGTGTTGTCCAGGAACCATGCTCTCGTGTGGTTCGACCACAAGACAGGCAAGGTGAGTCATGTGTGTGTGTGTGTGTTGTGCGCTCTGCATGCAGAAACAGGTCCAACGGGCTCATGTGTATGAAATACATCTGCAGCCTGTTTACTTCCTAATTGAGAGCCGTTTTGATTTAGTTGGCTTGCTGAAATCTAATGGCACTTTTTTTAAATCCAAGTTATCTCAACTTCTCCACCTTACTTTAGTGATAGGTTTGTCCACTAAAAGTCACAAGTTAGGTGACCAAGTTAGGTGACCACCATTTCTAAATCCCTTTTAAATTTTGCCATTCAGCAATACTAATTAACAGGGGGCACTTTTTCTCATTATTATTATTATTATTGAATATTTAACATGGTGAATTTAATGATTGCCACCAACATGTAGGTGTTGTGTATCCCTTTAATATCTCCGGGTGAACACAGGAACTAAACACCAGAAAAAGGAACCCAAGCAGCTCTCTCTGATGGGACCGTGGCTAAAGGCCCAAGGCACTCAGTTTCACACAAAAAGAGATTATATGCCTAAATCAGTGAAAACGTGAAACTCAAGGTGTCAAGTCTCTAATTCAGTAGTGGAATCAAAACATTCATGTTTAGGTTCACAG